TCGTAAGAGGGTGGAAGGCTTGGACTGGCAGGAGAAGGAGCTGGGGAGCAAGGTGTGAAGCTCACGTGAAGCAGAAGCGGAAGGTGGGGAGTCGCACCTGCTACCTTCCACGTCTCGAAACCTCCTTCTCAAGCCCGCGCGAATTTTGCAAATGGATGAGGATTCCCGCGTGGGCATGGTACCTTAGGTTGCGTTACATTTGATCCCGCGAGCAGGAAGCGAAATGGACTTTCATCTAAAAAACAGGAGGCACGGCCATGCCTAGGTCGCAGGATTTCAAGACTTATATGCAAGAGGTTGCGATCAGTCAAAAGAATATTATATCAGTACACTTCCCTCATCAATGGACGTTCAAGTCGAATGCAAGAGGCAGAACGACAGATCGGCGGAAGAAATGAAACGAGAAAAGTGCTTTAAAAATAGCAAAAGCTCAGGACTCGAACTTGTGAGATTCGTACCCATACGAAAGATTTTCTGCTCGGTTGTATTAACCCGCTCGGCTAAGGCGGTCGATTATACTTGGCTCCCATCCTGTGGGAGACTGCCAGCTGCAGTCACTACTGCTGCTAAATAGGAAGTCATGATTGAGCTGACCCACCACAACCGGCTGAAAGGCTCCCGCCGTGACATCTGGACCGACAACATGCCAGAAGCACCTGGGGCAGTAGTCTCCTAAACCCAGCCCTGCAGGCCAATCGTAAACTTATGCGCATCCTTCTCCAACTCCCCCCTCAACGCCTTCAACTCCTCCACATCCCAGTTCGCATGCACGAATCGCCCATTCAGGAACCTCGCCTCCTCGCTCACCGCCCAGACCACAAAGTCGCCCGGCAGCGCAATGTCGTCGTACACCAGCCCCAGCTCCTCCACGCGCGGCGCAAACTTCTCCGACATGGCGGTGCCGCCAATCAGACCCGGGTGCACCTGCAGGACGAACATTTCCGGGTTCTCGTCGTGGAAGTACTCAAACATCTTCGTCGCCGCGCTCTTGGAGGCGCGGTAGGAGGAGAAGCCGGGCATGTACGGCAGGTGGATCGCGGCAGTCGAGATGTGGATTACGCTGGCGTTGGGGGCGGCGAGCGGGTGGAACGCGCGCAGGAGGTTGAAGTTGCCCTTGACGGTGACTTCAAAGGCGCGCCACCAGTCGGTCGCGTCGGAGTCTGGGATGGTTTTGAGGTCGGACATGTAGCCTGCGTTGGCGACCAGGATGTCGATCTTGGTCTTAATCGCATCATGGAAAGATCGCAGGGCGGAGTTCGTGGCTTCGACCGAGGTGATATCGGCGGCGTACAGGTAGACCTTGACGGAGGAGTAAAGAGCTTCGATGGCGGATTTGGTTGCTTCGAGAGAGGCGGTGCTGCGACCAAGAAGACCGAGAGTCGTGATGTTAGATTTGGCGAGAGACTGAGCTATGGAAGCTCCGATGCCTGCGCTGCCGCCAGAGATGAAGGCGTGTTTGCCTGCGGTCGAGAGGGATGGGAGGAAAGGGGAGATAGCCGCGTAGGGCTTCTGGTGGTAGGTCTTTGTGGGAGATGGGAAAGACATGATTCCTGCTGTTTCGATTGTTCTCAGTCAAGGTACTATGTGGTTTTTGATGTTGTTACTTTGTTGAGAACGACGAGCAGACACAACTCCTTTTCATCCTGTCTTTATTGCCCATTGCCGAAAGACATGTTGATAAAAATAACATCGACATCTTGACAACACCGTCGACCCCTTTGCAAAATCATGTAATCATTTCCAAGGCTCCTGGATTGCGAAGCAAACGCCATTACGAAGATGGCAATACACGATGGTCCGATAACGTTGGAAGACGGGATCCGGTCGATGTTGCGCCGACTCCACTTCAGGAGACGCCAAGCACCGACACGGCCCCATTCCGCCGATAACGTTATCCGGCTTTGCATCAGGCCGGCCGGCTCAGGGGCGCAACGTTAGCCGCTGGAAATGCTTACGCAGCATACCTCTAGCTTCAACGCTTACGAAAGGGGTTCCGTTTGTTAATCTGGCTTACGAGTCACTCGTAAGATGGCTGGGTGAAGCGGCTGACTATTCAGTGCTGGGCATTTGCGATCATGAATGAGATGGCTCTGAAAATCAGATGCGAACTGGTTCGACAGCATCTAAGGGACGAAAGGGATAAATGCGACCGTTTTCCGGCGGATTCCTCGTTGCGACGAACAGTCTTGGAACACCCCGGAACGGCCCCCGCATTTCAAGGTCCCTACCCCTGGCGATCGGTCCTCAGCGGCGAGACCAGTTCCAAATGCAAGGGGTGACATTCCGGTGACCACACCTGCACATTGCATTCCAAAAAGAAACATCGAAAAACTCGGCGATGGGCATTGTTTACTCTGCTTCCATCTTCCGAACTTCTCCTGAAGAGCCATCCGTGCGCGGGCGGGGGTGCCGAACCACGCAGCATCCGAGCGGCCTGATTTAGCTTCCGCCTTGGGCCGAACTATTGATGTGACGGTGGGATCTACGACGGTGACAACTGAGCTAACCTTCCATCCTCATTTAAACAAACGCGATAAGATACCACCAAACGCGTCTTGTCTAGTCATGAAAGGGGGGCCCGGCCACAACCCCTCTGCGATGCCTCTGGAATGCAGCGTTGGCACATAAGGGATGAACCCTCCCGCGTGGGAAAACTCTAAAAATTCGTCCATCCTCACCCAAAGTCCTTCGTTTTCCTTTCTCTGTTTTCGCTATGGGGATTCGCTCGAGAGGCCGCTTCAGTCGCAGCCCTACGCTCACCAACCACAATATGGGCATCATCGGAGTGTACCCGGCGCGGCGCTTCGGCCGCTTCACGAACGCCGCCGCGGTGGGCGTATTGTTCCTGTTTCTGTGGGTGTTCCGTGAGCAGCTGCGCCTCGATCGCGTTGGCATGGATTCGAGCATCGTGCCGTGGATCCCGCGCCTGTCGCACCAGGACATCTTCGACTTTGAGCCGGTCAATTCGGAGGTCATCCGGGCGGTTTGCGACAAGACGGAGTGGGATGCGGGGAAGGCGATGCAGGTCGTGTTCACATGCGACAACAACGTCGGCGGAATCGGGAACATCCGCAACTCGATCCTGAACTGCGTGCGGTACACGATGCTGGCCGGGGGCTCGCTGGTCATGCCGCGCATCTTCAAGCGCAACGACTCCGACATCTCCCACATCCGGACCGGGCGGCGGCAGGAGATGGAGTACCTCTTCGACAGGCAACATTTCATCGACTCGCTGCACCTCTCGTGCCCCCAGCTGCGACTTTACAACGACACCGACGAGGTCTACGAATCCCTCGGCCCCGCGCGCACATGGTCCCTCGGGCTCTTCCCGGAATCACTCGTCGACGAGGACAACATCCCCAGCACAGGCATCGAGCACCCGGAAAGGTGGCAGGCGCAGCTGCACCGGTGGCTCGACGACATCGACAACACCACCGACGTGGCGCCGACGGGGCGCCCGACCGAGGGCCCGATGATGGTGGACCTGGGCCGGTCATACCTCACGTTCCCGATCAACAGCGACGGCGAGGTGTTCGCGACGACGTTCGGCAACATCCTCAAGTTCCGCGCGGACGTGCGGCAGCTCGCGACCGCCACGATCCTCAGCATCGACCGGCACTTCTTCGGCGCGCACCTGCGCACCGAGAAGGACGCGCTCGACAGCTGGAACCCGACGGACCCGATGTGGGAGTGGTCCGAGTTCAGCAAGCAAACGGACGCCTTCTTCGACCAGGCGGGCCGGTGGGACCTGACGGTCATGTACGTCGCCTCCGGGAACGAGACGCAGGTGGACATGCTTGAGGCGGCCGCGGAGCCGCGCGGGGTGCGGGTCGTGACGAAGCAGGACCTGCTGACGGGGAAGAACCGCAAGCGGCTGGAGGCGTTGACGTGGGATCAGAAGGGCATGATTGACTTCCTCGTCATGTTGGGGGCGGCGCAGTTTGGAGGCGTGGGACACTCGAGTTTTGCGTGGAACGTGGCGCTGAAGAGGCACATTTTCTCCGAGGAGAAGGAAGGGTTCCTGCAGGGGCCGCAGATGTTGAGCGATGAGTTGAGTCAGATTTACGGGACGCCGGGGAAGTATCCCGAGTATGCGTCGTGTTTGTGGCCATAATCTCGTTGCAGGTAGTTGAAAGAAAGTCGGTTTCACGATCATGCTCCAGTGAAGGTGAAGACGTACAGTCAGTGCACTGTGAGTCGACTGTGTAAGACAAAGCCGATAACGTTATTAGCTGATTACACTCCGTTGCGTTGACAGCGTCCGCCCCCAAGTTTGACCCGGAAGGAAAATTTTCCGCTAGCCCAAAAACCCCCTAAACCCCCCTAAACTTCACACTTAGATAACTCTATACGTATATAATATATAAAAATAAAAAGTATATCAATCGATAGCCCTCGATTAGGTGATTATAATAATATCTTTTTTATCCACGCGCACTGCGTACGCATAGAGTTATCTAAGCGCGAAGTTTAGGGGGTTTTAGGGGGTTTTTAGGGGGTTTTTAGGGGGTTTTTAAGCTAGTAGATACTAAACGCAACGCTAAAAAGAAAAAACGAAACCCCTTATACGTAGCGTTCACAGTGTCCTCCCTAAAAACCCCTTAAAATCAGCCTTAACTTCACACTTAGATAACTCTATGCGGACGCAATACGCGAGAATAAAAAAGATATCATTATAATCACCTAATCGAGGGCTATCGATTAATATATATTTCATTTACACGTATTACGTACGTATAGAGGTATCAGTGTACGAAGTTTAGGGCGTTTTAGTGGTTTTTTGGTAAAAAGCCCCTTTTTTTTGCCTTTTTTGGGCTAAAAACTGCGGGGTGGACGCTGTCAACGCAACGGAGTGTAATCAAGCCTCTCAATCACCACTGAAGACCTAAATCTTTCCCTCACCCAACGCTTGCTTTATCCCGATAACGTTGAGGTCTTTTCTCTGTCTAAGACCTCGGTTATTTGACTCTGTGATTTATTGAGACAGCGAAAAAACCAGCATGAGTCCATCCGATACCAACGTGAGACCCCACCGAGTCCAAAATCATCATCTGGCTGGATTACTAATTCATCAACAAGAAGACCAGACGTGAGCGCGGTGTTCTCGCTCAGCGCGAATACCGCAAGCGTCATGCGTCCAAAGTTCAGAAACTTCAGGATGAAAACAAGAAGTTGAAAGATGTCATTGGGAATATCGATAAGATTCTTCGCCGGCAGGGGGCACTATCGGATGACCTGAAAGCCGCCATGTCAGAAGCCCGCGAGATTGCGGGTATCACAACGGAGGATGAGCCGGAGACTTCTCCGGAACAGGATGCTCCGTATATCATGCAGTCCATAGAGAAAACCCCGCCGCCGGACCCCGCCCTTGAGGAAGTTATCCGAACCGACCCCCGACTAGCATCCTCTCTCGTCCCTGATCGTCGTGTGAGCCCTCGCCTAGACTACGGCCTCTGGCTCGACCCGGACCGATTGGTCCGCATACTGGAGCCGCCAGCAGACATTATTCCGTACTTGGGAAGCCGCATGAACACCCTTGCAGGTTGCATCTTCTGGGCGACCATGAACTACACCATCGATCTGTGGAACTCCCGCTCGGAACCTCTATCCACAAGACACCTCGACCGCATGTTCAACCACTCCGAGCATCTCCGGGATCGTCAGTTCCTCTTGTCCCTAGCACAAGCGAGGGTCGATTACAAAGAGAAGGGTTTCATGTATCGAAAACTCACTGAGCAGTTCGAGCGCAACGCCATGAGCGGCCTTTTCAAGCGCATCAAAGAGGACTACGACAAGCAGGGGCAGCCGAGTAAATGGTGGAAACGCCCGGAAGAGGTCGCGAACTCTGTTCTTGACGTGATGGATGAGAGCCAAAAGGCGAGGTTTCAAGCTGTCATCGATGGGAAGGGCACGAAGGAGGATGCGTCAATGCTGCGGGCTCTCATCACTTGGTTGGCCCAGAACTACATTTGCTTCGGCGATGGACCACGATGGAGCTCGGTGTTTGCTTCAGTGGGCATCGGGAGCTGGGTCAACGAGTTTAAACGGCGAGAGGCTCTGACCGCCTGAGAGATGTGATCTAATTTTATGAAATGTTCTTCAACGCTGCTTTCTCACAGATCCATGCGCCAGGCCCTCTCCATGATGTCTTGGTTCTCCTCCGCGTATCGCTCAGTCTCCCACATGGTCCTCCGTTTCTTCACCTCGGACATGACTTTGTACCCCTTCGTCCAATTATCCTCACAAACTAGCAGTTGATCCTGCTTCTCAACTTTCAGCCCACCACCGACGTCCTGAACGACACTGCCGTCGCCTTCAATTACTTCGCAAGCGACGAAAGCCCGGCGATCATCCAACCAATCCTCGCCGATAAGCATGGCTCCATCCCATCCCCTCTCCCAGCTTCCGGCGTAGAAATTCACCTTCTTCAACTTGCCGCCGCCGTTCTTCTTCACCAAATACTCGAATGGCCAGCTGGCGCTGTAGATCCCCAGCGAAGGCTCCGCATTGGACTTCGTGCCCTTGCTGCAATCGGACTGATCTTCCATCACCATCATCTCATGCAGCCTCTTCAGCCCCATCTTTTCAATATCGAGTTGCCGACGGCACTCGCTCGCCATCTCGAAAAAGATTGTCGCGTTTTCGAGGTTGGGAAATTTGGTGGCGATGGCTTCGAGGTGGTCCACGGGCCATGTTCCGTTCTGGTTGATGTCGATGGTGAGGGATTTGAGGTTGGGAAGCATGGCGCCCAAGGCGGTCAGCTGAGCGGGGCTCATCACTTTCCGCTGTCGATATGTGCTCTCGGGCTCATGCCAGTCGAGACTTGTCAGAGACTCTGCGTGGTGGCGGAGGAGTGGTTCGACAGAAGCCCCCGTCTGGCCGCTGTTTTTCCAGGAGAGATGTTTGAGGGAATTTCGTGGGAGGGCGGCGATCAATTCCTTAGCCCAAGAGCCATACGTCGAGAAGGAATGCAGAGATTTGAGGTGCGGGACGAGAGTCGTGACATTCGGTGTCTGACCGTCTCTGATTGCGAGATGCCTGATTTGGGAGAAGTCCATTGCCTCAAGCCAAAGGTCAAGGTTCGTCATGTTCTTTTGCGCTTCCGACATGGGAAGACCCTTCAACCATGCCCACGCCTTTCCTTCATAGACCCAGTCCGCATACCTATCAAACGTATTGCCCCAACTGTGCAGGGTTCGTGCCTCATCCCACGGTCTGTCATTGAAAGCATATCCTTCCAAATCCAGAGACTCTAGTGTCGAAGGGTAGCGTGAGCCTGAGGGGTGCTTGAGTGGGAAATTGTATCGGTCAGGATGCTCAGAACATCCCAGACTCGTGACGCGGAGTTTCAGACTCTTGATTGATGAGCACTTGGTGAGGGCCTTGTGGACTTCGCTCATGGAGTCGAGGAAGGGGTCGCCGGGTTCGCGTTTACCGTACCAATCTGTCTGGCCTGAGGGGACGACGGTGTCGATGTATGTGGGACATTTGAAGGGTGTTCGCTCCGTTGATGAAGCGGCGGCTGATGTGGTGAGGAAAAGGACGGCGAAGATGAGTAACCTGCGCAAAGCCGAGTGCATGACTGCGACGTCTGTGTTCTCCCAGGCTTGGTGTGGTGTAGCGAATGTAGGAGACTGCGCAGCGCACATTCTATGATAGCAGCATATATGTAGCGATGACAAGATGCCACCGTTTCCTACCAAACTTTAGATGGTGGTCTGCAAGTAAGAGACGTGTTGAAATCTCAGTATTGATGGGCTGATTGAGAGAGCGACCGACACAACCCCTGCACCTCTCTAGGCAACCACACCGCACCTTGATGTTTGGAACTAACAGGATCAATGAGCCTTGGCATTTATGTCTGCACAGACAAAGGACACCATTGCGTTGGAAGGAGCGCTATTATTCGGTGTGAGATCCTTTGGACTCGGTGAGCTCGGTAAGCCTCAGTAGGGCATCAACGCCCTCGAGTTGTTTAGTGAGATATGCGTGAAGTGGCTTAATTAATCTAGCTATAAGCGCTAGGCGTAGCTAGCTATAAAGTAGTGTAGCTAATCCCTTACGTAAAGGTAGGATTTAGGCTAAGATTTAGGTTTTAAACCTAAGCTTAACTAATTACTATTTTATATTCCCTTTTTAGCTAATACTTCTAGTATTCTAAATAAAGCTATTCTTATTTTAAAGTAATAATCTAATTAATTATATAGTAGTTTTATATTATTCTTATTTTTATATATTATTCTTATTTTTCTATATTACTATTATTATTCTATTTTAATTCTAAAATACTTTTTAACTTTTTTTAGTTTTTATATAGCTAATTAATATTATAATTACTATTTAGGTTATCTCTATAAAGATAATTAGATAGCTATTTAGTATAATTAATATTACTTTTTATTTTTAATTTAAATTAAGTTTTTAAATTAGTAATTTAGAAGTTTATTATTTAAAACCTTTTTATAAAGTTAATTTTTAACTTAAATAAATTTAAAAACTATTTATTTTAATTTAATTTTAGATCTTATATTCTAAGTAGTTTTTTTTTATTAAAAGTAATAATTCTTAAATAGTTAATTAGTTTTATAAAACCTTATTACTATTCTTTTAATTTATTAATTAAGTTTAGTTAAGTATTAAATATAATAGTTTATAATTAATAATATTTTAAAAATTAATCTTCTTATAATATTTTTAAAGTTTAATTAATTAATTTTTTATTTTTTTAAATTTTAAACTTATATTAATTTTATTTAAGTTTAAAATTAATTAACTTTTTACTAGTTAAACTTAATATAGTTATAGTTTAGAGAAATACTAATTAAAATATTTAACTTAGTAATAAATTTATAATTTAATAAAATTAAAATTTTTAATTACTTTCTAAGCTTTTATTATTAAATAACTTCTTATATAAAAGATTTTTATAGTTAGTAATTTAATTATTAAAAAGAGTAAATTAAGATAATTAAAATAATATAAAGTCTAACTATAAAAGTTAATTAGTTAGTAAAATATAAGGGAATAAAGTTATTATATATAAAAAAAATAAATAAATAGAAGGGACTTAATTAAGATTAATTCTTAAGATATTATTTTTAGATTAAAACTTATTATTAGTTATAAGTAGTTTTAATAAACTTAAGATTCTAATAAAGTTATAATACTTTTCTATTATTAATAGTTTAGTAAAGCTATTAATAACTATTTTATAAATTAAAATATAATTAATTTTAAAATCTTTATTATTAATATTATTAATAATTTAATAATACTTAATTTTAATATAGTATAGTTTAAGTAACTATTTACTTAATAGATAATTATTAAAAGTATTTATAAAATCTATATATATTTAGAGGGGTAATTAAATAGAGATATTTATCTTTTAGAAGAGATTTATAATATATAGTAAAATTTTCCTTCTAAATATTAGATTTATCTACTTAACTTTATAGGTTAATATAGCTATAAATAATTATAATATTAATTTCTAAGTAATTAATACTCCTCTATATATAACTATATAACTAGCTATTAACTTACTTATTTTTTTATAATTAAACTAATTAATATTATAGAAAGCTAATAATTTAAAGTTATTAATAGAGTAACTTAAGCTATTAAAGTAGAGTATTAGTTATTATAAACTATAAAGATATCTCTATATTAATCTTAGTAGTTTATTATATTTTTTAGAAATATATTATTAATTTCTAATAGCTCTACTTATAAGTATTATAATATTTAGTTATATATTATTTATAATCTATTATAACTTATTTAGATTACTTTAATATTTATATATCTTAGTAAGTATTTTATATTATTTTATAATCTTTAGTAATTAAGTATTACTAAGAGAATAAAATACTTAGTTATATCTAATAATACTCTTTTCTATTAGTATGTTATTAATATATTTAGTTTATAAAATCTAAAATTATCTTATTTTATAGTAATAAATAATCTTAAACTTAAAAAATTATTATACTTTACTTAAATCTTTAATTTAAAAGAAGTTATATAAGTTATTTTTAAAGTTATTAACTTACTTAATATTAAATATAATAATAAGTATATTATTAATATAAAGTAATATTATAATACTATCCTTATTAATAAGAATATAAAGTTCTTTTAGTAGTAATTTAAACTTTAATTATTTAAAGATAATAATAATTTATTTATATTAAAAAAAAAGAGATTTTCTTAATCTATAGAGAGCTCTTTTTAATTTATAAAACTAATTAGATTTATTATTAAACTTATAAAGTTAAGTAATAAAGATATCTTAATCTCCTATAAAAGTATTTAAAAAAGCTATAACTATATTAATTTAGTAAAATTTTAGATCTTTAAGTATTATAATTAGTAAAAAGATTTATAAAGTAATAAAATTAATAATAGTAATATAAATTATTTTATTATCTTTATTTTAAAAATTACTATAAATAACCTATTTTATTCTAACTTTATTAAGTTTTCTATCTATAGTAACTTTTTTATTATATACTTATTTACTTAAGAGATATTTAAAGCTATCTAAAAGCTCTTTAAACTATTAATAATCTATCCTTTATAAACTATTAACTTAAATCTTTATAGTATTAAAGATAGTTAACTTTAGAAATCTCTTTTTTATTACTTTTTATTTCCTAAAAGTTATAAATAAATAAATCTTTAAATTAAAAACTTATAATAAGTTAGATATTAAAAAAATAAAAATAATTAGTTTTTAGTTTATTTTATTATTAATTAAATTAATTTCTATAGTTTTTATTTTATTAAATTCACTATTAAACTTCTTTATATTATATAATATTTAAATTCTAAATATTTAAGTTATTCAACTAAAAGAAGAAGTAATTACTTTTAGTAATTTTATAAAAATAAAACCTTTATTATTACCTCTTAGTTTTCTTTTTAGTTTTCTTTATATTAAGTAAGAAGTTTAAAATAAAATACTAAAAAAGTCTTATTATTATTATAAATTATTAGCTAATATTTATTATTTCTAAGGAGTAGTAAAAGATCTCTACTTTAAAGGAGTAATAAGAGAATATTACTTTAAAAAAGTAATAAGAGAATATTATTATAAAAAAGAAATTTTTTTTAGTATTAATTATACTTATATATTTATAGTATTAGTATTTAGTACTAATAAGTATAGTTTTAGATTTAAAGTTAGTAAATTACCCCCTTTATTACTAACTTCTTCTTATTCTTAAAAAAGCTTATCTTTTTATTCTTATTTATTATTATCTTCTAAATCTTAAGCTTCTTTTAAGTATAAATTACTTAATTCCTCTTATTATTAATCTTATTTAGTAAAATAATAATAATAATAAGACTTAATATTTATAGTATAAAGCTAAAACTTAGTTTTATATATTTTTATTAGTAATTTATTATTATATTTATAAATCTTTAGTTTAATTTCTTCTCTTAGCTATAAGTTATTAAATCTAACTAAAAAAAGCTCTCCTTTATTTTCTTTAAATACTATATTTCTTATTTACTAAATATTATTAATCTTTTTAATAAAAATATAGAAAATATTACTATAGAAGTTATTATATTTTATAAATCTTCTAAGTTTAGCTTTAAGCTTTATTTTCTACTTTTTTATATATAAATAGCTATCTAAGTAAATATAGATATAAATTTAATAGCTTTAGTAGTAGAAATAATATATATATAGTTTTTTTATAATAAGAGATATATTAAAAGTATTTATTAGTTTTTTATAAAACTTAATATTATTTTTATTATTAAATAGTAGATTTCTAATTTCTATAGAAATCTTTATTAACTAAAGCTAAAAAGACTTAAGAAAGCTAGCTTCTATATATATTATTTATACTTTTTACTATATAGCTTTACTAAAGTTTTTTACTCTCTTATTCTATTAATAAAAATAAGAAGTTACTATCTCTAAATAGAAACCTTATTTTTAAATAAAAAGTTTTATTATTTTTAAAAAAGCTATATTATTATTTATAATAACTTTAGAGAAATAAATAATACTATTTATTATTATAATCTTTTTTAAAAACTAACTTTATAACTAAATAACTACTTTTTTCTTTAATTTAAATATTTAGAATTATCTATAAATTAAAAAAGCTTCTATAATATAGAGATTATAAGTAATACTTTTAAAACTTTATAGTATTAGTTCTAAGAAGTTAATCTAAAGTTTTTAGAAAGTTTAAGTTAATAGTTCTTATTATTTATTACTAAATTACTATATTAACTTTATTATAAAATAGATATAATATTTATATTTTATAAAAAATACTCTAAAGAGGTTTATATTAATATCTCTTATAGTAGTAATAATTACTTCTCTAAATAGATATTTTAAATAAATATAAAAAGTTTAGTAATTTAGCTTAAAAAAGCTAAATTTATTACTTTAGTTAGAGGGATAAATCTAAAACTAAGAGATTTATATATTTTATTTAAAATTAATAATAGCTTTAGATATATCTTTATAAACTAAGGTATTATTTAAACTATTAAAATAAATATTTATTTTCTAAAAAAAACTAATACTAATAATTTATATTATATTATAAAGTTTATAAAAAGTATTATATAGTTAGAAAGTAGTTTTTTTATTATTTAGCTTAGTAGTAATTATTTTAACTATATTAATAACTTAGCTAATTTAGTCTTTTCTATTTATATAGTTTATAGTTAATCTTTAAAAGAGATCTTAAAAGTCCTTAAAAATAGAAAGATTATTAAGGATATACTTATTAGTATTAATATCTAATATAAAAGAGTTTATTCTCTTAATAGAAGCTATAAATATAATATATTAACTTAATTATACTTCTTAGCTATTATTTTCTTCTTTATTAGCTTCTTTAATAATATTATATATAAAAAAACTATTAATCTTTATTTTAATAATCTAACTAATAGATCTATAAATAGAAAGTTTAAACTTCTTTATTAGTTACTTCTTAACTCTCTATATATAGTTAACTTTATATAGATCTCTAGTAAGAGATTAAAAATTAAAATATAAACTAAATACTTTAAATTTATTTACTAAGAATAATAAAAAAGTCCTCTTTTAAATTTAAGCTATTAAAGTATCTATATAAACCTTAAATTATTAGTTAATATCTTATTTAATACTAAAGTTTCTAAAAATACTATTTTAAGTTTAACTTTCTAAAGTAAATATTAAAGTAGATACCTAAGTTATTAATTATTAAGTTTATAATATATTAATATATTTAAACTTATTATATAATAAAATATAGTATTTATAATACTTAAGGGAGTATTTACTATACTTATTAAGGTATAAAGTTATTTTTTTATAATAATAACTATATATCTTATATTTATAAAGGTTTTTAGAATATTTAATATTATATAAGATATAAGGATTTTATATCTTAATATTCTTAGATTTAAATACTTAAGTTTATTTCTTTATAGTAAACTTCTTTTTATTTAATAGAACTTTAATACTTTATAAAGTTTATTTATATTATTCCTTTTTACTTAAGTTTTAAAGCTTTTATAAAAAATTATTATAGCTTTAAATCCCTATAATAAAGTTATTCTCTATAAAGTCTACTTTAATTTAATTAAAATATCTAAAACCTTAGATAAGTTTATAAATAAAAGCTATAATTAATAAGTTTATATTAGAACTATTTAGTTTATTAAAAATTAAATAAAGATCTTATATAAAATCCTTAGTATTACTATAGTTAATTCTAGTTATTTTATTCTAGTTATTATAGATTTTACTTATAGTTAGTTTATTAAATTTTTAAGTATATTCTTTAGTCTTAATAAAGATATAAAAAGCTAAAGCTATAATAAAAAGATTATTATTAATTATTTTTTCTAAGAAATTATATTAAATCTTCTCTATAAATAATTATCTAATAAATATAAAACCTATAAGTATTAAATTACTTAAAGAGCTTAGATCTTTAATTACTATTACTTTATTTTCTTTAAAAACTATATTTCTATTATATCTATTTAATATTCCCTTATTTATTAAATAGAAAAATAATCTTATTACTTTAAAAGTATTCTTAAGATTAATCTTTTATAGTTTAAAGTTTATAACTTTAGTTAGTTTAGAGATAATATTATATATTAAATTTCTTAAATTTAATTTTTTATTAGCTACTTTCTATATAGCTACTTTAGCTATAAAGTTTACTATAAAAAAAAAGGGAAAACTAAACTAAAATAATCTCTTTCTAATAAAGCTAAAAGAAAATAAAATTAGATTACTAATTATAAATATATTAATTTATTTAATTAATTTAATAGTTTAAAAAAAGTTTAAATAGTAGTTATATATAATTATTAAATAGTTATTAAATAGTTATTACTATATAATTATAGTAAATATTAAATAATTATTAACTTTAATAGCTTAAAAACTAAAGAGATTTTATAAATAAAGGATATATATTATAATAGTTATAATCTTTACTTAGAAATATTATTTTTAATAGTTTAATAATCTATTAATTACTTTTTAGTAATTATTAAACTATAAAGTTAAAATCTTAATAACTATTTAAGAATAACTTCACTATTTAGTAAATAGATTTAAGTATTTAGAAAGTTTATAATTTATATAAAGTAGCTTAATTAATTTAGCTATAAACGCTAGGTATAGCTAGCTATAAAGTAGTATAGCTAATCCTTTATATAAAGGTGGGATTTAGGCTAGGATTTAGGCCTTAGGCCTGGGCCCGGCCGACTACCGTCTCGCAAGACATAACTGACAACAGCCAGCCCCTAATGAATCGCTGGCCATACGGCAAAGCGACGACCTGGGACCTTCATATACCGGTCAAATAGTTATTCCCAGGTCTTCTGAGTTCACGGGACTGAGTAAGCAGGCGTTTTACCAGCAGATGGTCTAATGCTTGTCAAGTTTCGCTCATTTAACCTTATTTGAGAGTCTAATTTTAGCAATGTAACTCTGTCTTCCCACGCTGACCGGCGAATCCGGGGACATCGTACGCTGAACGTCAACTTCCCGACCTGCCTTAACTCCTTTCACGGAGTAAGACTCACGATACTTGGCATTGAAAACGCGGTCGAGACGCGGGCTTTCAAAGATGAAGGTTCTCATCGCGACGATGCCCTTCGCGGGCCACATCCATCCGATGCAGCCGATCGCTCTCGCCCTGATCCGTCGTGGCCACACCGTCGCGTGGCTCACATCTGCATCTCACGAACACCTCGTCCGCCCAACCGGCGCAACCTTCATCCCCTCTCCTCCAGGTCTCGCGCGCCATGATGAACGTGTGTTGGTGCCAGATGCGGGAACGTCGGGCCTCGCAGCTGTGGTGTCGACGCTGCGAAAGCTCTTTCTCGATCGCATTCCGGATCAAGTTGCTGCTTACCAAGAGGTTCTATCAACCTTCCCGGCAGACATAATTTTGGTGGATCTCACGGCATACGGGGCGCACTGTTTTCGCGATCGTACCGGAACTCCATACGCGACGTTGGGGATCAATCCGCTCGTCACATTTGACCCCGAAGTCCCGCCCTGGGGCACCGGATGGCAGCCGCCTTCAACCATTTTCGGGCGGTGGGTGAATTCAGTGGCTCACAAAGTCGCAACTTGGCTGTTGTATCCGAAGCTCACAGCAATATTGAACACACACCGGGCCAAACTTGATCTTTCTCCCCTTCCACCGACGGGATTCTATGACACGACAAGGTCTGATGTCCTGCACATTATGCCAACAACACCTGCGTTTGAGTTCCCACGCGACTTTCATCCATCCATCAAGTGGGTTGGACCGCTACTTCCCCTATTCAACGAAGAATCATTTACTTCACCGCCGATCTGGTGGAATGAGATGCTGGCACATCCGAAAGAGAAAGTCGTTCATGTCACGCAAGGAACATGGGCAACCACCGCAACGAACCTCATTCTCCCGACACTCGCAGCTCTACGTGATCGTTCTGATCTGCTAGTCATCGCAACCACGCCAGACGCGGAAAAGTCCTTACCAGTGTCGTCGCTGCCTAGGAATGCACGAGTAGCGTCATTTGTACCCCACGCGAAGCTTTTGCCACATGTTGGCGTGATGGTCACAAATGCAGGCTACAATGGCGTGCTTGTGGCATTGACATGTGGAGTCCCGTTAGTCTGCGCCGGCCGGACGGAGGATAAGGCCGATGTCAGTTCCCGGGTTGCGTGGAGTGGAGCTGGGATTGATCTGGGCACGGATACACCAAGTATGAAAGCTATCAGGGATGCGGTGGGTAAGATCGTTCGGGATGAGAAGTATCGCAGGGCGGCGGAGAGGATTCGAGATGATTTCAAGAAGCATGATGGGCCAAAAGAGGCCGTTGACGCTCTGGAGGAAATTCTCAACCGTAGCCAAAAATGAGTCATACGCGGCGTTTGCTCAACTCAGTCAGCAATAGTTGATTTTCTCAAACCCATGCACCAGAGATCTTTCGAAATGGAAGTTTTTTTGGTGTATATCAAAGTCGAATTCGCTTCTCTTGTCTATCATTCTGGACGAAGAGATGTCGTACACCGATGAGTAGAACTTTTTTTTTGACTTACTTTCACCCCCGCCAGAACTGCAATGTTCCTGAGAAAAGTTCGACCCGAAATAGTCTTGGTATCGCTACAATTTGATGAAATTGAGAGGAGTCTGTTCAGGTTGATACGGTTCATTTGTCCCGCTGCCGCTTCCGTACTTCGGTGCGCTTGCTGAGAGAACCACGACGTTGATAACATGTTCAAAAGCAGAAATGAAGGCACAGATGATACATTTCAAGCAAGTAAAGCTTCTGTTATCTTTCAATGGGACTTGAGAAAGGCGAGTCAGTCACGAAAGCCCGAATCTCCTCCTATTTTCATCTGCATCGATGTTTCCGGCCACCATGGATCTAACGACAGCCTACATTAACCATATCGCAAGTATAAGAAATTAAAATCACTACATTACTCTTGCTATTCGTGTAACGAAACATGAACGATAAGTCAGAGAAAAAGAAACTTGTTGATATCAAGAAATCTTGGGCAGTAAGGTGGTCCAAGATATCAGCTTATACACACCTTCAGGTGCAGCTCTAAGGGTTGTGAAGAGTAGAACAAAGATAATGAGACGGGCGGCCGTGTATATCAGAAAGCTGAATGTTTCCAGAAGGCCCAATGCTACTTCTTTTGGGCGTTCCTGGCTCCTTAGACTTTTACTGATCCGGCAGTATGTCTGGATGATTCTCTCAACGTAACAATCTTCCCAGGTGTTGTTGGGAGAACTATTGAGTTTCTCTCCAACAAGATCTTCGTATCTTTTCCAAAATGCGCGGAGGCTTGGCTTGCCGAAGGGGTCCTTCCAAAACATTTCAAGACGCTCGCCGTCTTCCAGTAGTAAACTTCCAAGGCTAGCACGAGGGTGCAAATCTCTGTCGAGGGCTTGCTTCCAGTGAACTCGTAAGTCCTGAATGGCTTCGTGAAAACAGAGGTAATTGTCGTAGCTAAAGTCGGTTTCCGGATCATCCGTTTCACGAACAGCGTCGTCTGAAGGTATCATCTCCCAGTCAGTTGACCCCTGAAGAATGCTCCTGGCATATGCATCAAATGTGTTTTCATCAAAGTCTCCAAAGTGAGGGTTCAGAAAGTAGTCCCACCAATCATCCGACATAGTGGGTAGTGTGTTTAACCCTTCATCAATGAGCTGTATCAGGCGCCGTTCCTCCAAATCGTGGGTAGAGAAGTACCCTAAAATGAAGCTGATGCAAAGTGTAACACATGGTAAAAGGCCCGAGTTAAGACATGCGATCCTCCAACAGATAAGTTCTGCCCGAGAAGGAAATTGAAAATTCCAGGCGAAACAGTGAACCCCACTGAACAGCAGAGATGAAAGGCTCATGGATATGATGACACTGAGGGCATTTCCTTCAATCCAGATCAAGTCATTGGCAACGTGAGAGGTTTCTTGGACACCCTTACAGTACCAATCTCTTGCGGCCGGGATGGGCGAAAAGAGCTAGAGCCAGAGACCTCTCGTACAAGGTGCAGATTTCCACTTTCCGTGACAGTAACGTTGAATAATTGTTGCTTCGTTGACGTCTTTAGGTTTCCACCAACTGGCCAGATACGTCAGGATTGCTAGTATGGAAAAAGCGATAGTTTCAATCTCAAGTTGAGTGATTGGTAACCGTCTTGCTACGCGGCTGGTGACATTGAGAATGAGCCACACAATTTGAAGTATGGCAATACTCTTCACTAACCAGTCCGCCTTGCTTTTGTCCTGTATATCATTTTCGCCAAGAACAAGATATTTGAGAGGATGACTTTCGGATTCAGCCCAGTCGAACTGGGAGGTGAGCCTCGTCGCGGTGAGGGTTACGTAATGCTGGGAATAGGGTGAATATTCTGGGAGGAGTAGGCCCCCCATCTGGGCGTAGTATGGATGTGTAATTGTCCATTCCTGGGTTGTTTTCCAACAAGTGGGACTTTTCCGAGTACGCGATCGTTTCAGTGGTTCTGCCAATGGGGTTGTTTCTGATTCATTCAAGCCTTCTTGATTCTCGTTGACTTCTTCGCTCGGATCTTTCGGCGAGATGTCGTCGGCAAGATCTCCGAGTTGGGTTTCATTTCCACTGTCTCGAGCTCTTGATGACGTGGGAAGATCGGCATTCGGCTCTTCAACATAGCCGTCGCGGGGCCAGCAGATAAGGCAACGAACCAGGCCGTGTTCATCCGGAATATCGTCTAACTCAGAGTCATTGCCATCGATCCTTCGAGGTTCATTGATGGTTCGAAATGCGGGGGGTTTAAGACCGAGTATTGGATAAAGAAGCCAGCTAAGTCGTGGATATTCTATGTCCCAATTCCAGTCATGGTGGATGAGATCGTGCTGAGGGGCATTGTAGTGGACGTCCCACTTTGTAAGGTGCTGAACTCTTCCATGGTTATCACCAAATTGCCGCAACTCGTCAAGGGCTTGTTGCAATTCGCAGCTCGCCTTAGAAAGAATGATCTCGGGGAAGAGAACGTTGACCAGCATCCACTTAACCTTACGCCAAAGTCTCCGTGCCGATGTTTCGCGGCGTGCGGGCACGTTTAGATGAAGGACAGTCCAGGTGCAAGCAAAAATGGTGATGGCGCAGCTCCATACAAGGGAGAGTGTTCCTCGAGTATCAGGGCCGGCTTTCCAGCCAATCATAACGTCGGCTTCTCGACCATTCGCCTCGTTCGATGCCAGGGCGCCAGGGAGCATCGTCAAGAAAGCACCTAGAAAAATGCGGCAGCATTTAGAGCGGACCTTCATGACGGCGAAAGATTCAGCGAATAAACCGCGATTTGAGCCAGTCGAAAGTACGCAAATGAAGAGAGAAATTGGAAAAACGAAGCCGCCAGAATTAAGAAAGATGTTATCTGAGCTGAATCGCCACTTGAATGCAAGAGGATTTACTTGAGCCTGCATATGGGGCTGCATCGATCGGCAAAATGAAGTCATACTAATGGAGAGTCATGCCAATAAGCTGGAGGCCATGGGAAACATCGCGGCAGGCAGCCACTTACGTGTAGGTAGCTACAACATGGCGGTCTCAGTCTTCATGCGAAGCAGCGCATCGATAGGTCGCTGATGTATCCTCCTTCAGCGAGAAGCAACCTGTTCGGGATGTGAGGGTGTGCCTTTCTGATGAATGGCGGGAGGGGCGACACATGTATGATGTGTGCTAATGCTAGTAAATGTGTAAAAGTAGAATGATTGGACATTCCTTGATAGCGCCTATGCACATACGACAGGCTGGCTGTATTTCAGGAAGTTGCGGGGTTCCTGTTTCTTTTCCAAAATCGGAAAACCGGTACCATAGATATTTTTTATTCAACGCAAGATTTCAGTCCATGTGGCAGGTCGCAGTGGTGAAGATCAGCATGCATTGTGCAGTACATTTAAAGAAGACACTTTTTCAATAACTTCCATGTTAGTTAGGCCACGGAAATATGGCTCGGTGATCATAGTTATCTTTCGACTTAGAAAACACCGGTATGAACTTTCGTAGGTGAGCAGAGGTCTCTAGTCTAAATGGACAACTACCTTACCTAGGCTAAAGGTCCAGGGCCGACCGCCATGTTGCAGCTCGGCCCCACTCCGGTTGCCGCCGCCGGCCGCCGCATAGGTACTCCGTGGCACCTCATGTGTCGCTGCGGCAGTCCTGAAGGCCGCTGTGATACAAGGCCGGGCGATTTTCCCGTGCACCTTCGCTCCACGCTCGAAAACCGAGATCTTCTCGCCGATAGCAACGAGCAACAACTCTCAATCCCAAAGGCCCGATTCCCACCACCGCCAAGGCTCGGCCATATCCCCCTCAACCAATTTTAAGCCTCGCAGTGGGCTCCCAATTTTCGCGATTGGCGAGCCGACAAATACCGCACCAGGGCCCCTTAAAACGCCCAGACCTCTCTCGCCGTATCATCCTATCGCGCGTCGTATCGCCGCATGCTATCGGCGGCCGGAGCACCTCCTGACTCCCTCGGACGCCGCCCAAAGTTTCTGAGTCTCCGGCGATTCGACCTCCGTCCGCTCTGAAATCCGAGAGCGTGACTCGGGAGGGTGGGTAGCGCGTCGGGAACGGTGGGTTAGCTTGATGAAGATGGTGGATACATCGTGGACCGTGACACCTTGGCGCTCGGGAATAATCAAAAAAGTGTGTGTTTGTAGCATTATCCAGCGAGGTATCATTTCTCTATCAACAAAAGTAAAAAACAAAAGCTATGATGTCTATGCTCCGAAATCGCAGGACCGCGCCAGCCCGCCGCCCCTGAATGCGCCAATGCCAAGTCTCAACCACGTGTCAAATCTTTTTTAGTATCACTCTCTCATTTCTTTACGTGTCTTGCGTCTAGAAGCTCTTGACCTTCTGCATGCTGCCCTCCTCGACCAGGGCGCGGTGGAGGTCAAACGAGTTGAAGAGCAGGTGGGGCTCGTGGCCCATGCCCTTGCGCAGGCACTCGAACTCGGCCTTGTCGAAGTAGCTCTGCAAGATGGGCTGGTAGACGGGGTGGGCGCACTTCTTGATGATGAGGCGGGCGCGCTCGCGGGGGCTGAGGCCGCGGACGTCGGCGAGCCCTTGCTCGGTGACGATCACGTCGAGGTCGTGCTCGGTCTGGTCGATGTGGGTGCACATGGGCACGATGCAGGAGACGCCGTGGGGGTCGGTCTTGGAGGGGCGGGTGGAGGGGGTGTGCATGATGCTGTACTTTGCGTTGCGGAGGAAGTCGGCGCTGCCGCCGAGGCCGTTGAGCATGCGGGAGCCCATGACGCAGGTGCTGTTTGCGTGGGCGTAGATGTCTACCTCGACGGGGGTGTTCATGCCGATGACGCCGAGGCGGCGGATGATCTCGGGGGAGTTGGAGACCTGCTGGGAGCGCAGGAGGAGCTTGTCGTGGTAGGACTCCCAGTTGTCGTAGAAGCGCTTGAAGCCGTCGGGGGAGAAGCGGACGGAGGTGGCGGTGGCAAAGTCGAGGTGGCCCGAGTCGAAGAGGTCGAGGAAGGTGTCCTGGATGACCTCTGTCCAGACCTTGAGGTTCCAGAAGTTGGAGTCCTTGAGGCCGCCGATGACGGCGTTGGCGATGTTGCCGATGCCGGACTGCAGGGGGAGCAGGTTCTTGGGCAGGCGGCCGTGCTTGACCTCGTGCTCGAAGAACTCGATGAGGTGGCGGGCGATGGCCTGGGAGCTGGCGTCCTCGGGGGTGTTGGGGGAGGTCTGGTCCTGGTAGTCGGACTCGATAATGCCGACGACCTTCTCGGGGTCGATAGGGATGGAGGTGGTGCCGATACGGTCCTCAACGCCCATGATGAGGTAGGGCTTGCGGCGCGGGGGCAGGTCGGTCATGGTGATGTCGTGGAGGCCCTCGAAGCTGGGGAGGGAGGTGTTGACCTCGATGATGATCTTGTCGGCGAGCTGGACGAGCTCGGGGGTGGCGCCGACGGAGGCGCCGGGGACGATGCTGCCGTCCTCCTTGATGTCGGTGGCCTCGACGATGGCGACGTCGATGCCCTTGTTGGGGCGGTCCTTTGTGTAGAAGCCGTAGACGAGGTCGACGGGGAACTGGGACAGGTGCTTGTCGAAGAAGTTGATGCGGCCCTCGTTGATGCCCTTGGAGATGGCCTTGCCGACCTGGTGGGGACTGCGGCGGTCAATCATGTCGAGACCGGCCCAGCGGTTCTCGGTCTCTGCGCCGGAGGAGGCACCGACGAAGAGGCTGTACTTCATCTTGCCCTGCAGGTTGTTCCGCTCGACGTGGTCGGCGAGGAAGGTGGGCATCTTCTTGGGGTAGCCGACGCCGGTGAAGCCGGACCAGCCGATGTAGGCGCCGTTGGGGAAGTGCTGGAGCAGGTCCTGGGGACGGGTGAGCTTGTTCAGCATGGTCGGGCGGCGAACGCGCGCCTTGAGGGCGGCCGAAGCAACTGGCGACGCCATTTTGGAGCGTGAAGTCTGACGAAGATGAGGATGACGAGAGGAGTGGAGAGGAGAGGTTCTCAGAGGGTCAAAGCCCGGGGAAAGGAAGGGAGATGATGGGGGAGAGTACAACAAACAAGCACACCGGTCAAGGGAAAGAAGACACGATGGGGTGACTTTTGAGGAGAGAAAGTGGGCTCCAGGTAGATTTTATATCCGGGCTATTTTTCGCGTCTTGGGCCACAGGAGAGGCTCCAGTCCAGACCTTGAGGACGAGCCAGAGAGAAAAAAAAAGATGGACTGTGGAAGATCAGGTCACTCCTTGAGCCCCTCGGTGGGGAATGACGCAGCTGCGGCCAGGGAAGCTATGGCTTTTGATAGCGATAGCTCCCCGATTGGGCAAAGCGCGGCTTAGCTAAGGCGGCCAACAGGGTGCTGGCAGCGTGGGATGCGTGGGCTGAGTGGCCAGGCGGCTCGGCAACGGTCGGTAACACCCCTGCCCAGACAGCCGCATGCCCGCTAGGCCGTGAATTGACTGAATTTAGGTGTCACTGGAGTAAGGCACAGCGGGAGAGGTGCGCCACAGGGCAGCTTGGTAGCACGCTGAGCCAGCCAGGCACCGCACCACTGGAAACCTTCCTTCGGTGAGAGCCGACAGACGAGTACCCGACAGCAATTGGCCAATCAACAGCGCGCAATTCCGCTTTATTCCAAGCAATTCTGGGCTGAGGCCGTCAGGAGATTTTCCACTCTTTGGAATTGGCCTTTGGATTATTTACTTAGTATTGACAGTCTGCTCATCTCTGCATCGCGAAATCATAGGGGGCCTCTTATCTTTGAAGTACATCTCCATCGCTTGCTAGGCATGGTCACCATGACTTAACCGGGGCCCATCGAAACGATGCAGCAAAGTAAAATGGAGCCCGTCCCAAACTTCCGTAGATGCGAGCTCTTCCTTCGGCACAGCTCGGCCGGACGAATCTCGGCTTTAGCCAACGGTACGTACCTGCAAGGTCCACCCTTCCCGCTCGAGCATCCAGTCACAACGCAAGTATGCCATTTGAGCCCCCACAACTGCATTTTCGCCTGGAAAGAGACACGATCTTGCCATTTTGGTCTTGTGAATAGCTTCATTTTATTTTCTCTCTTTTTCATGCTGCCCTAGCCAGATACTTTACTCGGGAATCTTGGCCTCCTCCGCCGGCACGCCAGCCTTCCACCGGTACGACGAAGCAACGTGCTCATCCAACGGTTCCGACTGTCCCTTTTTGCGGTAAAAGTTCTCTCTGTACGTGCCGCCTGGAACGGCATAGTCATCCCAGAACAGCCCGCGACGGCGCAGCTCCGGAAGAAGCAGGTCGATGATGTCCTTGAACGACTGGGGGAAGAGCGCATACGCCTGCAATCGCTGTCAGCATCCGTCTTATACAGCACATCAAGTCCACTCACAAAGTTGAAACCGTCCACATCGGCCTCCTCAATCCACGTCTCCAACCCGTCCGCAACCTGCGCCGCCGTACCAACAAAAATCGGCCCATTACCTCCAATGCTGACGTGTTCCGCAATGGTATGTTTCGTCCACTTGGCCGTACCCGGCGAGAACCGCGCGTAGCCCTCGACCGTCGACCGCACCGCATTGCTCTCCACCTCGCGCAGCTCCTCCTCGTCGCCGTACTTGCTCAGGTCCATCCCTGTCCACCCGCCAAACAGCGCCAGCGCGCCCTCGTGCGACGCGTACTTGCGGTACTCCGCCAGCTTCGCCTGCGCCTCCGTCTCCGTCGCGCCCAGGATCGGCGTCACCAGCGCCAGCACCTTGATGCTGTTGCCGTCGCGGCCGTATTCCGTGCGCGCGAGCTCGCGGATCTCGGCGATGCTCTTCGCGCACACCGCCGGCGCGTGCGCCGACACGAAGATGGCCTCGGCGTGCTGCGCCGCGAACTGCTTGCCCGCCTTGGACGTGCCGGCCTGCAGGAGCAGCGGCGTGCGTTGCGGCGAGGGCTGCACGATGTGCGGGCCGGGAACGTTGAAGAAGCGCCCTTCGTGGTTGATCTTGCGCACGAGGTCGGGCTGGGTGTAGATGCCTTTCGCGCGGTCGAGCTTGACGGCGTCGTCGCGCCATGAGGACTCGAAGAGCTTGTACATGACCTTGATGTACTCCTCGGCTTGGGCGTATCTGTCGTCGTGCTGGGTTTGTGAGCATGGTTGACGGTGTTGGGAGCAGTCGTCGGTGAGCTTACCTGGGGTTGCTGGGCGAGGCCCATGTTCTTGGCTGCGGAATCGAGGTAGCTCGTCACGATCTGTCATGGTCAGCTTGTTTGCTCGGTGTCCTCCCTCTTCCCTTCAAACTTACGTTCCATCCAAGACTGACATCTCATTAGCCACCAAACCTCATTGTTTACGATGGGGGCACTCACCGTCCACCACTGAGGTGATCAACCGTTGACAGGCGCCTAGCCAAGTGGTACGGCTGCTCGTACGTCGTCGATACCGTCACTCCGAAACCGATGCTCTTGGTCACAGCAGCCATTGCCGCAATAGGAGCGAGAGGCTCGTTGACGGGCCATTGCGCGCCGGAGATCTTTGCAGGGTCAAGCGACTGCGAATACACGTCGTAGCCGCCTCCAAGATGTCAGCCGTCGCGTTGAGCAAACCGAGGTACAGCAAGCGCGTCTTACCGAGAACGTCTGCGATGAAGATTCCGTGGAACTTGGCTTCCTCGAGAAGCTTCGCCAGCTCGACCCAATGGCTGATCTCGTTGAATCGCCAGGACTCGTCATCGGGATGCCTCCACAGTCCAGGGGACTGATGTCCACTGCCTGTGATAACCTCCTCGTCAGCTTCTTCGACTGCAGCCAACCCAGCTAACAACAACGAATTGGGGACATACACATCTCAACGAAGGCATTGAGCACCAAGCTCTTCTTCGGCTTTGTTCCGTTCGCGTCGGCCATGATTGCTTCTCTCGTCTCGCGTCTCTTGCGTGCTTCGGTATCGTGAATCTTCAAGAATAACAGATTTCCAAAGAAGATCGCAACAGAAAGAGGGTAAATATTTTCCTCAACCGCAAAAATTCTCGGAGACCGTGTTCTTCCCACCAGCGACGCGAGCGCGGGGTAATCAAGGTGCCCTCAGCCGGTTGTGACGCGCATTCGGGGCAACTTCTCCAACGCATAGCGCTGCCCCTCCCGATGTTCGGCGTGGGTCCGGCACCGTGGAGCCGGGGCGATGACACCACCGGACGGCGCGGTGGCGCAAGACGCGGACCCCACGTTGAACAACCTCGGATAGATCTTCAGCGAGGGCAATCTTTCTTATCTCGATGCAATGCCGTACGACTTTGGCATTTTAGCCGTTGAAACAGCTAGCCGGTCAAGCAATAAGAGCTCGCGGCCCCCACTCCGCACGCCGCGACCGCGTGTAATGGAGCTCAAGGTTTCAACGTGAGGCCATCACGTCATGTTAGCCCCGAAGGCGAGCTGGCCCAACCGGAGGGTCGCGAATTGCAATGCTACCACCCGGACGGACGCGTTCTGCGGACGGCGGAGGGCCGCAGGGTGTGGGGTTCTGTGAGGGGTAATTGGAAGCGCTGGCTTTGGTTGAATGCGATGCTGAAGGTTTGGAGATGATTGCGATCCTCGATGGCATGTGTCCCGGTGCTGTGGATACGGCTGTGCATTCTGTCTGGATGATATCGTCGCCCGTTCAATCTCACATGCGCCCAGTGCCGACTTGGAGGAGCTTCCATGTTTACGATGTGATGAGGCCCAGCATTATGTGATTACGTGCAACGATAATTGAATTATAATGTTAACAGCCAAGCTGTGAATAGCTTCACAGCACAACACTGAAAATCTGGATCTACCACGATGAACCTACTGACCCTCCGCATCTAATGCTTTGTCTGCGAGTCCCCATCCTCACTCTCCACAACACCACTCCCACCCACCTCCTCCACCCTTCTGTCCCCATTCCCAAAGTGCTTCAACACGAGCCACGCCGGCCCAATCGCCACCGCCCACAGCGCAAAGTTGAAGTAGATCCCGCCCACCTCGCCGAACAGCGTCAGGCTCGTCAGCCCGTAGCTCACCGCCTGCCACGCGCTCTCGGTGCCCCTAAGCAGCGCCGCGTAGCGGATGACCTCCTCCTCACCCCGCGCGAGGTTCGTGACGATGAAGTAGAGGAAGAGGTAGTTGAGCTGGAAGCCGATCGTCAGGAAGATGTAGACGGCGAAGGCGGCGCCGAAGTCGCCGTCCGCCCAGTCGTGCGTCGGGCGCGTGGTGCGGTAGCGCGTCGCGAGGATCGTGGCCCAGGTCCACCAGGCGCCTTGGGTCACGACGAGGCCCCAGAAGGTGGTGCGGGTGCGGGTTTTGAGGGAGATTTGGGCGCGGTCGAGCCAGTGCTGCAGGACGAGATATCATTAGCAACTAAAGGCGTATTAAACAAGACGGAAGGGGTTACTTACGCCTAGGAGGTTGCCGGAGATGACGGCCACGATGCCGGACAGAAAAGATCCCAACGCACGGGAGCGCACAGAGAACCAAGCTTCAAGATATTAGCACACATCCACCCAGCCAGACTCACGCCGCACTTACTCGCAAGATACGTGAAAAACACAGCCTCCGAAAACACCGCCTGCCCAATCCACAGCACCACCAACAGAAACTTGACATTGAAAAAGCTCCGCGTCGTCGCCCTGATCTCGAACCACGGGTTCTCCACAATCTCCAAGCTGACCTTGCGCCCGTCCTGCCGCTGCACCTGGTCCGGCTTGTTCAGCAGCAGCCCCACGAACGGGCCGGCGGCCTGGATGGCGATGAAGACGATGAAGACGGTGTACGAGACCTTGCCGGCCTGGTCGTTGTCGGCGTTCAGGCCCAGGTTGATGGCGCCGCCGAGGATCTGCCCGCAGAGGCGGTAGGTCAGCCAGTAGCCGAGGGCCTTGCCGCGGTTCCAGGGCTCCGGGTAGGCGATCGCGATTGCGGCCTCCGCGGCCCAAAAAACGCCAGCAGATATACCTAGAGTTCAGTCAGTCTTAATACCTCACGCAAAGTATCTGCCAAGACATACCGCAGAGGGCGGCCCCGAGGAGCATGAGCCACTCGACGCCGTAGCGGTTGTTAGTGTAGAGGCCGGCGGCGAAGGGGGCGTAGCCCATTCTGTTGTTGCAGTGTTAGTCGAGACGATTTCCGACAGAGTAGCCGTGTGCGGTGAAACTTAGGAGCTGGGAGACGTACGTTCCAAAGATCAAGGCGCCCTTGATGCCGATGTATTTAACGATGACGGACGAGAAGTAGCACGAGACGACCATGAGGCAGAAGGTCAGCGCGTTGGCGGCGTTGACGACCTTTGGCGAGGCGGCGCCGCCTGCGCCGAGGGAGTTCATGGCGCCCCAGATACCGGGCGCGGCGAGGTTGCAGAGGCCGAGAATGGTCATGTTGTAGAAGGTTGAGCGGTACCATTTTACTGTTCCGCCGCATGTCAGCGTATAATCGAGCGATTGAGAAGCCTCAGACCTGAGCATACCTGGGTGTCTCTCCTCCTTTGGAGGGATCACATCGCCCTTGCTGGCGTCTGCGTACTCGGCCATTGTGACTGAGTGCCGTGAACTGATGTTGGAGAAAAGACAGGCACGCTTTGATGGTGATGATGGCTACGGCCCAAGTTTGACTTCAGTCGACAGTGATGGATCAAGACCCACGGGAACGGGAATCCTTCGTCTTATCATTCACCCCAAGCACACAAAAAAACCATGCAGGGATGGATGTCATTGCGAGATGTCGTTCCAGGGTTCTGCACCATGTGCCGGACAGGCGAACAGACGGCCCTGTCAGCTAGGGTCCAGAACAAACTTTTTTTTCCTGTGCTTCTTGTCTCCTTGGCCTCTTTCACAAAGCGCTGATCCAATAACTGCGCGTTTGAAGCTAAACTGCGTCCAGGTTTGCAGTCTAAAATTTCCGGCGACGGGGGTTCGCTCGGCGTTGGAGAGGTTGCGAAATCAGCCGGGGACAGCACGCCATTCCGTCGCCGGCGCACAGATGCACCGTGCCGGAGTACCACCCCCAACTTGAACAAGCGTTGAACCAGAGCTGTGGGACGATTCGGGGGCTAGAGAACTGTCTCGAGCGCACGTGGAAGAGCTTCCGGAAGATGTGTCCATGGTTTGGGATGATGGGCATGGCGTCAGGGTTTGATGTGAGGTCTTGGCATGTCATTGTCTCGAAGAACCATAGCGTCGGGTCAGCGACGTGAGATAGCTGACGAAGTCACATTGGGAGGTATGACCGAGATGCTCTTTCGGGCTACCTGTCGTTGAGATCGAAATATGGTGGCAGGTCCTCCAGGCGACTTACATCTGAGGGACGAGGACTATCGCGATCTAATAGAACGTGACGTTGACGAAGACAGTGATATTCAAAAATATCAAGAATCTCATCATTTCATCTTTGTTCATTTCAAAATGCCATTCAATGACTATCATCTATGGAACAGTATGCCAACTCTCATGCACATCCTTCGGATCAACAACCCCAGCCTTCAAATACGGCGTCACATCAGCATTCTCATCCAGCTCCTTCTTCGTGCACCCCTTCCCAAAGTACCACAAGAACGGATTCTCCGCATCCCCAAGATACTCATACTCAAAGTCCTCCCACCGCGGCTCCCGCTGCACAATCGTCGCCAGCGACGCCGACCCCGGCCACAGCCCGTGCACCCGCGAGCCCGGCTTGCCGCTGTTGTACCACGAGCTGCAGTTCTCCGAGAGCACCGTCGTCGCGAAGAACGCGTCCGAGTACTCCGTGAACCAGTCCGCCGCGCGCTTCGACACCTGCAGCGACTTGATGCCCTCGCGCGCCGCCTTGCGCAGGATTCGCGCGAAGTACGTGATCTGGTTCTCCACGTTGTGCGGGACCGTCCCGGAGCGCCCCGAGCCGTTGGGCCCGTGGATGAAGAGCAGGTTCGGGAATCCCGGTGTGGCGGAGCCGAGGTACGTGTAGGGGAAGCCGTACTTGCCGTCGGACCGCCACAGCTTGGATAGGTCCTCGCCGCGCGCGGTGATGGGGAACGGTGGGACCATGTCGACGTTGGCGCCTGTTGCGCAGAAGATGGCGTCGACCTCGCGGTGCGTGCCGTCTTCCGTCTCGATGCCCGTCTCGGTGAACCGCCGGATGGGCGTCTGGATGTAGTTTGTCTTCTCGGCGGTGATGGCCTCCAGGTACCCCGGGCCCGGTGTCAGGCGGCGGCAGTGCGGGCTGAAGTCGGGGATGAGCGCGTCGATGAGCTCCGGCTTCTTCGCAAGTCTGTCATTCATGAATGTGCGGAACTTCTCGCGCGCCTCCTCGTTGTCGGCAGACCCCTTGAGCCAGCCGGTGAAGTGGCGGAAGTACTTGCTCTCCATGTCCTTGCGGTACGCGAGGTACGCCTCGGGGTCCTCGCGAAACTTGGCGCGCAGCTCTTCGGGGATGGGGATGGGCTCGATGGAGGTCTCGTCGCCGGCGAAGGAGGCCGTGATCCACGTCTTGTTGCGGGCGTAATGGTCCAGCCGCGAGACGACCTTGTGCAGGTTCGACGTGAGCTGGATGCCGCTGGCGCCATTGCCGATGACGGCGACCTTCTTGTCGCGGGGGTCGAAGCTGGGGTCCCAGTTGGAGGCATGTCGCAGGACGCCCTTGAAGTCGTGGATGCCGGGGTAGTTTGGGAGTTTCCAGGCGTTGAAGCGGCCGATGGCTGTCAGGACGAAGTCGGCCTCTTCAATCCGGATCGCGTCCGTCTTGAGGTCGCGGACGGTGATCTGCCAGACGGCTTGGGAGTCAACCCAGTTGAGACCCTCGACCTGCTGGGAGAGCTGGAGATACTTGTAGACGTCGTACTTTGTCGACAGGCCCTTCCAGTAGTCGCGGATCTCCGCGCCCTGCGCGAATTGCTCTGTCCATTGGGTGTTTGGGTCGAAGGTTGCTTGGTAGACGTGGGCGGGCACGTCGCAGCGCACGCCGGGATATACGTTTTCGAACCAAGTGCCTCCCTGAGATTATCTGTTAGTAATTTAGAGTTGGCAAGAACATCATTAGACATACCACGTCGGCGTTCTTTTCAAATATTGTGAGTTTAACTCCAGGGACCTTGGCAGGCAGCAAGATACCAGCGAGAACTCCAGAGAGGCCTGCGCCGATGACAGCTACGCGCAAAGACCGTGGCTCGTCGATGTATCTGTCAGGAAGCTCAAGCGAAACATCTTCATAGACCGACTTTGGTGGGGTGAGCAGCGCGTCGACTGTCCTGTCGATGAGTGTCTGCTTGGCTGGTGTCTCGGGCACGGCGCCCTTGGTCTTGTCAAAGCCATTGGCCTCGTTTGGTGGTGTCGTGTTCTCAGTGTGATAGTCACCCATGATGGCAGTCTAGGCTCCTGAAATTGGCACTGAAATGTGATGCTTAACTTTCACCAAGTCCAAGACAGCTTCACTGAATCGCGGTCCCATTTGAGAAAGCCACCATTTTGACCGACGACCCCTCCGACCCCTCGCCGGCCCGGCCATCGGAATCACGTCAGAGATGCCCTCGAACGCGTTACACACACATGAAGCGGGCTCTCGCGCATCTCCTCGACGGCACAACCCAGCCTCAGCCGCCGTCGTCCTATCACAGCTGAGCCATTGTTATCTCGACGCAGCCAGCTTATTCACCCCGAGAGCGAATGCGCCCACCCCACCACGGAAGCTTTGCCAATGGATCCCCAAAACCCCGCTGCCGAGGAGGGCGGGTATTATTTTCGCGGGTTGCCGCGCTGGAGATGAGGTGCGCGAATGTCGGGGAGCACGCCATATCCCCACTTTCTTGGGGAATAGCTTCGTCTTCCCTACCCCCTGTCAGAACGTCTCCATAGATCGGACCTCTCCCAAGAAACCTCGGGGCCCCGTTTGAAGTTTTCCGTCCGGCGCGTCGGATCCGCATCTTTTTGGAGGTTACAACGAGGAAAAAAAGGGTCTCCAACTCTGGCAGAGGATTTGGGGGTTGGAGCTCGGCATGTGTAAGCGGATCTTGAACAGGGATGCGTCGCTTTATCGAAATGCCAGGACGCCTCGCCTCGGGAGCGCAGCCTGTCACAGCTGGTCTGGGTGTCACATCAATGTGCCCTGGGATGGTGCAATGGACTGCCCAAAGACGAGCTTGAAGATTCTCGCCTGCGTGCGGACGACTCCCGCCCACTCCCTTCCAGGTCGGAGTTCTGCGCGGTGCTATTACGCAGTAGCATCTCCCTGGTGTCCCTGTCTCTCGGTTCTCTGCTTGCCGTCTTCTGCGTGTTGGACCTGCGCTGTGTCTCCCGCGCCAAGATCTTGTTTCGCGTCGGCGACGAGTCGGGCCTGATTGCAAGTCTGGTTCCATTGGAACTTGTGGCGTTCGCGCACGCAACCCGACGACCAGGGACAGGAAAGAGATTTTGGACATGGGATGCGGTTGTGAGGTGATGGGATGATACTAAAGGCTGGAGGGTCCTGCGAGTTCATGTATGTTTTGGTAGGATTAGGAAGTTCGCAGAACCATTTACCATTCGGGCATTTTGTTTGCTCACTGCCGAGCAAGACCCCGTTCATCGACGTTCGCCATGGTTGTTCAAGCGCGCCGCAAGTGGTGGCATATCCAGTGGTATGCCGACACCGACACGCCCGAGGAGCGAAAGCTCATTGGAAAATTGGATCTTTTGATCGTGCCTTATGCTGTGCTCAGCTACTGGGTCAAGTAAGTGCATCTGCCTTGGCCTCGGTGAATGGTGATGTGCTGACCGCAATACAGGTACATCGATCAGTCAAACTTGAGTATGTCCACCCTTTCAAAGTTTTGTATCCTCTAGCATCATCTAATGGGAGCAGACAATGCCTATGTTGCAGGTCTCAAAGAAGACCTTGGATTCAAGGGCAATGAGCTTGTCCAGCTCCAGACCTTCTACATCATTGGCGCCGTCACGGGCCAGATCCCAATCATGTTCCTGCTCACCTACATCCCAATGCACTGGTTGATCCCATGTCTTGATATCTGCTGGGGCGTCTTCACGCTTCTTCAGTTCCGCGTTACTGGTTTCGCTGAGCTGGCTGCATACCGCTTCCTTGTTGGATGGTTTGAGGTCAGTTTGAGTTGAGCATGTGACCCATCTCGGACCGTCTGACATGATACAGGCTGCTTTCTTCCCGGCTATGCACTATCTCTTTGGTAAGAACCCCTTCAAAGAACCCCTTTAAAGCAGATTCATTGCAAGGGAAAACTGACTGGTGGCAGGTTCGTGGTACCGTGGTGACGAGATCGCCCGGCGCGGAGGCATCTTCTACGTCGGCCTCTCCTTGGGCACGCTTACCGCAGGCTTGATCCAGGCTGGTGCATCTGCCCGACTGGATGGCGTGAACGGCCTTGCAGGCTGGCGCTGGATGTACATCATCTGCGCCCTCATCACCATCCCGATCGGCGTACTAGGCTACTTCGTGATCCCCGGCACACCGGAGCAACCCAACCGCCTGGTGTTGAAGAGAGAAAACATCGAACTCAGCGTCGAGAGACTGAAGCGCGCTGGCCATGCATCCCACGGGAGGTTCAAGTTTCCAGCTCTTAAGAAGATTATCCTATCGCCGCAATTCTGGGGCATTGTCGTCGTGGACGTACTCTTCTGGAACGCGGGCATCCACACCAGTTCCGGTAGCTTCTTGCTCTGGATCAAGAGTCTTGCGCGGTATTCCGCGGCCAAGGTGAACGAACTTGGTACCATCGCCCCGGCGTTGGGAATATTCTATACCCTCTTTGTCTGCTTCGCTTCTGACCTCGTAATGGGCCCGGCTTGGGCAATCACGATGTCGATCACCTGGAACAGTATCGGCCTGATCATTCTGACAATCTGGGACGTCCCCGAGCCTGCGAAGTGGTTCGCCTTCTCGACCATCTACTCCTCAGTCGCGATGTCGAGCGTTCTTCATGGTTGGGTTAACACGCAGTTGCGCGCATCGCCCGCGGAAAGATCGTTCACACTGGTGCTCATCAACGCCATCTCGCAGTCGTCAACCGCGTGGACCCCACTGCTCGTATTTCCCACAGTCGAGGCACCGCGCTACCGCAAAGGTTTCGCGTTCACACTCGGTTCCTCTATTTTACTCATCATTGCGACGCACATTCTGCGGTTATATGTCAAGAGACGAGAGTAAGTAGTCAGCCAAGCGCCAATATCTGATCATCAACTAACACCTTGAACAGCCCCCAGGTCGAGAATTCTACAGGTTTCCCTGACACTCACAGCGACGACGGGGCCACAGTAGAGGATGGAAAGAGACCACCTGTTGCGGTCAGTGGCAGGGATGATAGAAGCGACTAACGTGTTTTCCCTGGAAGAAGACGGTGATCCTTGGAAGGCGTGGGGGCTATGGTCGCACGGCATACGCCATTGAAAAATATCTATTCAGGTTTCTGCAGAGTTATGGCCAAGAAGGTTGAAATGAAGCGCAAATATAGATGTTGTTCCGATGGTAGCCGATGATGTTTTGTTATTTCCCTTTCAACAAAAGTTTGGCTGAGAGTATGTCGCAGTCATGAGTGAACCATAACCGCTCGGGCTTGATCAGGTCTTTCCCTTTAAGTCTCACCTGGGAAAGACTTCCAGCTCGTAACCTGACTTATGTTCACTCATATACGCGATCAATATGCCTTGTGTGTTTTTCACAATCATCCTACTTGCAAAGTCCTTGTCACGATGAGTCCACAGTCGGGTGATGCCGAAACCTAGATGTCGGCTGTACCGTCAATAGCGGGGGCCTCCCGTCTTCCGCAGCCGGTCGGCTCGTCAACCCATCAGACATGAGATGCTCAAGTGAAAATCGTCTTCATTACTATACCCTATTAGCTAAGTGTTGAAGCCAATTATCGTGACATTCAACGCAGTCGCGACCCGCTCATCGACAAGTCTCGACCTGCGGTATCCCCGCCACAGCAAGGCAAGCGTCGGGATCCCTCCGGCTTGTTAAATCAGATATCGCATGGCTCGCCAATTTAAACGGGTTTAACGCCCGTCAGGAACTAGAATAGCCGACCGAAGACTGGGCTCTAAACGTAACTGCTTTGAATCCGTTTGGTTTGTGGCCATGGCACCATCCACACCTGCAATCACGCCAGAGCCTCGCCCTGCATTTGGGGCCGTCGCAATTGGAGACTCTTGCAGATAATATCCCGCGCGAGTCCCACGCGGCGGGCGACAACGGCGATGACGAAATGTGGGATTTTGATCCAGTTCCATGCATCGCGCGCCTACCTCCGGCCAAGGAAGCGGCTTCAGGATCATGAAGGGATGATAAAGTCGCATGCAAGCCCCGCGGGCTTGGGGACTGGGATGAGACCTGGACAGTTTTCGTTGCCGACTGACGAGAGGTTGAACCAATGTCCGAATCACCGGAGAGAAAGCGGTTGAAAATGACTTCAGTCCCGATTCACAGCGCAACCAATGGCGAGAATGGCATCAAGGGTGAAGGCAAGAAGCAGATTTTGCTGAATGCTTTTGACATGTCCACCATTGGGCATCTGTCACCTGGGCAATGGAAGGTAAGCGCAGCAGATTGACGGGTTTCAGGAACTCGATAGACTAACGGGGAGGATCACAGAATCCAGAAGACAAGTCCGCGACGAAGCGCGACCTCAACTATTGGATCGAACTCGCGAAGCTCCTGGAGAGGGGTGGCATCAACTCGCTCTTCCTTGCCGACACCTACGGCGGATACGATACGTACGAGGGAAGTCTTGACAACTGCATTCGCCGTGCGGCTCAATGGCCCATGACGGACCCCACAATCGTATGTCAACTCCTTGCGAAGAGCGAAGATACTCGCTGACCACCTCATAGCCCATTAGTGCCATGGCTGCCGTAACGAAGAACCTCTCGTTCGCCATCACAGCTTCGACCTCGTTCGAGCCGCCATTCCTACTGGCGAAGAGATTCTCTACCCTCGATCACTTTACGAGAGGTCGCATTGGGTGGAACATTGTGACCTCGTGGAAGAAGGCAGCGTTCAAAGCCATTGGCCTGGACAGTCCGATCCCTCACGACGAGCGATACGCACAGGCGGACGAGTACTTGCGGGTTCTTTACAAGTAGGTATAGTCACATACGACCAAAACGGTGCCCCGACTGACGGTGAGACTTCAGGCTGTGGGAGGGTTCATGGGCTGACGATGCCATCTCGCCAGACCCCGAGAACGACAGCTATGCCGACCCCGATAAGATCCGAACGATTCACCACCACGGCAAGTTCTTCGACCTCGATACCCGTCATATTGTCGATCCCTCGCCGCAAAGAACTCCATTCCTCTTCCAGGCAGGGACATCGGCGGCAGGTTCAGAGTTTGCGGCAACACATGCGGAGGGTATCTTCGTATCCTCTCACTCGCCCAAGCTTCTACGACCCAAGGTGAAGGAGATCAGAGACAGGGCCGCAGCACTCGGCCGGGACCCCCAATCTGTCAAGTTCTTCGCAACATTCACCCCAATTGTCGGCCGCACCGACGAGGAAGCCAAGGCCAAGCACGAAGAGCTCAAGAAGTACGCATCAGTCGTTGGAGGTCTTGTCCTGGTCAGCGGCTGGACGGGCATCGACCTATCCAAGATCCCAGTCGACCAGGAGGTCACTGCGGCCGACTCATTGGAGGCGCACAAGGTGCGGAGTATCCTGGACGCGTTCACGACCACAAGCGAGCACGTCCCGAAGTGGACGCCCCGCGTGATTGCCGAGCGGGCGGCTATCGGTGGCCTCGGCCCGGTGTCGGTCGGTAGCCCGGAGAAGGTGGCGGACGAGATGGAGCACTGGATCCGCGAGGGTGACTTGGATGGGTTCAACATCGGATACGTCACTACGCCCGGCTCTTTTGAGGATATTGTTGATCTTCTCATTCCCGAGCTCCGACGGCGCGGCTTGTACCCTGAGGCGCCGGCTGAGGATGTGCAGCTTACGGCTAGAGAGAAAGTCTATGGGCAGGGGCAGAAGGGGCTGCGGAGCGACCACCCCGGATCGTCGTACAAGTATGATGTATATAAGGAGGAGAATGGGGGATCTGAGGGGTCGGCAGGTAGCTCTTGAGCTAAGTCTTTCGCCACAATAATCTCATCTGCATCTCACGCTCAAAATAATCGTAGCATTGTAGCAATTCTATGTCACGGTGGGAGCACTGTTCATTGCCACTCTCATCATCCGTCAGAAGCAGCTTCAGAATTGAAGCTATCGCCAAATTTCCGGCTAAGGGTGGGGCACAGAAGTGGGCGCTGAAAGCTAGATGCCCCCCACTCTTGAAATCGATATCATTACTCAACCAGATCCAGGGTTCTCGGGAAGAAAGCTCCGCCAGCCTAAGCCGGAGATATGAATAATCAGGGGGTGAAACGCTCGGCTCCTTCAAGAGGTTCGTCGCCCTGCATGAACGAAAAGGCAACCTCAATGTTCTATGACAAGCTGTCTTCGACGTCCAGTCCCAAGATCTTTGATCGCCGTTCCCTGTAGCGTCATATGCACTATTCCTCTTTTCTTGAATACGACAATAACGGATAGAGGGCTTTGGTGTGCCGTTAGGTCTACAGGCCGTGGTGCATGCATGCTTCGCTAAGCAGGTGTTGTCATCCATGCTCGTAGAAATAGATGCTGCAGCGTCACATGCACAGCACTTCCCCGCGATTGAAGAGCCAATCACTAGAACATTTACCTGCATCTGAAGAATTTCCAATAATTGAGGCTAGGGTGTGATCGTCCCAAGGCGAGAAACCTAAGACCTCATCAACCGGTGTTTGCTCCCACTCTTATCCCCCACTCTTGGGCCCACCCCAGAAGCCTGAGTCTTGGTAGCCACGAAAATGCTGGCGTTGCACTATCGGCCTCTATCTTTGACTCTTATCAGTTTCAAGACATTCAGACAATCGCATCCGGATACAGGTTCCGATCGTGGGGTTTTCCAAGGACCACAAGTGGCACCAACGCTCTCTCAAGTTAACTCCGGCAAGTTCGGAGACTTTGCCGGGTTACCCAAAATGCGTTGTCCCACGCTGACTACTTGGGCTTCCTCCGACGAATCCTCAGTGGTAACATGCCGGTCCATGGTCATGTGAACGCCGAACCAGACCTTGCCATCAAATCGCCTTGTCCTCGAAAGTGACAAAAAAGGCTCGGCGCCCTTGACCCCTGTCTCAGGGTCGATGCAGACCATGTGACATCTCTGACAAGGGCCGAGAACACTGAAGTTCAACTTGCCGATTCGAATGTCCGACCAGCCATCCTCGGCGTATGCGGATGCTTCTGGTGAAGATGCAATGACAATATTCGCACGGAACACGTCCGCTGATACATCTCGGCCACCGCTGGCTCGAATCGCGGCATTCAGAGCTTCAAGGCTGGATGTTGTGACTGCCAGTATTGGGCTTTCGTTTGAAAGAAGAATTTGGTGGCCTTTTGTATTATGCTGAGTCGTCCCCAGTGTCGTACATGCAGGGGCCGGGGGGCCACTCTGATCCCACGCGCTTTGGGGGCACATTTTCGGGACCCGACGGACTTTCCCTAGCCTCATAGCTGCTTTGTGGATCTTGGGCGAGCAACGAGCGAGGTCGCAAGGTACACCAAGTGCATTGGAGAAGAACTCGCTGATATGATGAGAGATGTATCTTTCCACGTTAATAGTCTCACCACATACTCTGGAGATCGTCCATTCAAGCAGACCTCGTGTATCACTCACGTCTGAGTCCTCCGTCAGGGGGATTGAGACAGAGTCTGGTGTGCCGTGAGGTGTGAAGCCCAAGTAAACAACGCTCAAAGTCCCATTTTTGAGATCGATACTTGGCTGCAGTAGAGCCATGCGAGGGTACCTCTTCTGACTCAAAGCTCGGCCGGTGCCGCGATGCACGAGGCACCATTCTCTATCCCACATGAGTCCTTCAGGCCGCACTCGCCAAAATGTGTGTTTCGGGATATGAAAGCCTTTGCAGCTCTTGATAGGGTATACAATTATGTCTTGTATGGTGCCGGTAGTGACGTCTTGGCCAGAATGAATCTCGTCTTGTTTTGCCGTACTGTCACTCCTCGTCACGTAAAACTCTTGAACGAAGTTGATGAATCTGTCGACATCTGACTCCGTGCTCATCGCCCCAAGACTGGCTCGAATGACTCCAGTAGGTTGGCCATTGATGAGATCGTTGTCGTCTCCGCATCGAAAGCCGTCCGCGTAGTTCTTCTTTACTTGGAAGGATGACAGTCCAAGTAGTGCAGACGATCCTCCGGGGTTGCAAACAGTGCCTGTTCGGAGATGCAGGTTCTGCAGGCTCGCCAGTTTCTGAAAGTCGGCAAGAGAAATCCAGGAACCGTGCTCGTTCTTGAGATTGAACGCTACTATTGGCCCACATCCGACATCATTGTGATGCTCCGGCTCGGTTGAATAAACTGCACACGCCGGCGTCCCGTTGCCATGTCGAAGTGCTTGCAGGCGGCGCTTCAGTCTCTTGGACAGGTAAGAAGTATGTGTCGATATATCGTTCGTAGTGCCGAACAGTCGGAAATGTGTATCCATAGCAGTGTTTAGAGCGAGTATGTTGTGTATAGGAAGAGTGCCGTCCTCGAGGAGTTGATGAATACTCCCTGTTTTCCGAGCGTGCCAAGCTTCCGGTCCACTGATAACTGAGTCCACCGTACCTCCACCGAAATACCTTCGTTTCATCAAAACGTCTGCACACTCCCGTTTGACGACCAAAGCCCCTACGTCCGGAAAGCCGAATATCTTGTAGAAGCTTAAGACCGTAAAGTCTGGTGCAGAATGATGATCGAAAAGGTTCAGCATAGAAGTTGAAACATAAGAAGCCGCATCCAGCAACGTAACAATCCGCTTTTCGTGTTTAGATGTTCTTGCAAGGTTGCACCAGCTCAAAGGCAAACGTCGACCGTCGAGATTTGATTGGGCTGGATATGCGAGAAGTGTTGGCCTATCAGCGCGAACTTGACAGTCGCGGGACTGTTTATCCAGCCAATTAATCATTCCCTCGCTGTCAACACACATGCTGTTTTTGGCTTCTTGTCTCACGCCAACCAGACTGGTGTGACTCCATTGGTGGTAAATGTAGTCGAATCCTTCTGGTGTGCCTCGTAGCGCTTCGGCTACGAGCTTGATGCCAGCCGTCGCATTAGCAACAAAGACTACGTCGAACCTGGCTGGGTCTGCGTTGAACATCTGAAGCACGCGCATGCGAATGTCCTCTATTCGTGAAGTGGACAGCTGAGAGGACGTGGACGTTGAATGAGGGTTGCCAAACAGGGTGCTTGACATTTCATTCCCGAATGAAGTCATCAGAGATTTCGCCGGTAGAGTCATGCCCGCATGGTCGAGGTAGATCTGATCTATGATCATATGTCAGCGGGTTTTCCTTCAAAGCGTCGAGACTCTTGTACTCATCTTGCTTTACCTTTGAGCATAGAATACTCATATTCGCGAATAGCCTTGATTCGAGCATCGTAGGTTGAATGGATTGGTGAAATGCCAGCATTTGCTGGATCGGATACCATATTCTTCGTCTGCTGGTCAATGACATGACCCCAGTGATGTCGCGAAATCAAACCCAGTTGATATGTGGGTTTCTTTGCGGTGACTAGATCTTTTCAACTAAACAAGCCCGGCGGCGTTCCGATGCTCGGCTGCACGATTCTCTTCATGGGTCGTCCGTCCATCTGTACCCCGGAGGAGCTGTGTACCTCGAGATACTGTTTCTGGGATGCGAGGGGCCAAATCCAGTGTTACTGTTAGTCAAGTCTTACCTTGTCATATCTAGAAGACTTCGTCGCCTAGAGTGGGGGAGTTCCAGATCTTGACCCCCCCTTGTAAGGGCGCCCCCTCCTCGTATGCCCCCACTCTTCACCTTGTGCCCCTCCAGACCAAGCCGTTGACTAGTCTCGATGCCCTTTTCGAGAGACTTGCATCGGGAACGGCGTCACAAAATTTAGCGTAAGTGGATATCTGGGGTGCCTCCGATAAGCCGTGTCGGCTACACTGGTGTTTGTGCTGGAAATGTCAGCCACGGGAGTCGGTAGCCCAATGCCGTCTGCCCCTCTTCTTGAGATGGCCGTTATCTTTGATAATGGCACGCATATACCTGGAGTTCGTCTCCTGATTGTGAACCAATTTGCACTCGGCCTTTCTGCGACGTGAGACTATTCACAATCATACCTAACATGGACCGTCTACCCTCGCCGCCTCCATCGGATTCCGATAGCGAAGATTGGCACACCAGCAAAACCGAGACCCTTTCATCTCTCGTCAAATCCACGTACCAGACATCAGTCTTGAAGTTCTTTGTCAATGGACGGCCGGTCACTGTGAAGAATCCCAACCCCGACTGGGTTCTCCTTGACTGGATCCGAGCTCAAGATGGTCTCAAGGGCACCAAACTGGGATGTGGTGAGGGTGGATGCGGCGCCTGTACCGTGGTGCTACAAGTTGCGGAGGAAGACAGAACAATCAAGCATATTGCTGTCAACGCCTGCCTGTATCCGCTGATTGGTGTCGATGGCAAAAGTCTAATAACAATTGAGGGGCTTGGTAATGTCAACCACCCTCATCCATTGCAAGAAAGGATCGCAAAAATGCAGTACGTCAGTTCGTTTCTTTTACTTGGTAATCCAGAGCAGCTACCGCTCCGAAAATAGACGTAGGATCGTAAATCAGGGTTAAGAGCTAACGATTGCAGCGGCACACAATGTGGATTTTGCACACCGGGAATCGTCATGAGTCTGTACGCATTGGTCAGAAACTCCTACCGGAATGGGAAGTTCCACCTCACCCATTCCGACGTCGAACTTCAAGGCCATCTCGACGGTAATCTCTGTAGATGTGTGAGTGTTCCTTTGCCAGCATATGGCCACCCAACAGGTCGCTGATACTAGGGCAGACCGGGTACAAACCCATCTTCGAAGCCGCACGTACCTTTGTCACAGAGGATCTCAATGGCGTCCTGGCAAAGGCCGACGAAGATGAAGAAAATCTTGGACCAAGCCCGCCCTTATCAGAAGATGATGAAGATGGGTTTCTCAGTTCCGTGAATAAGCCTGGATCGTGCGGTCGGCCAGGTGGATGTTGTCGAGACAACCCAAAGCCCGCAGACATAAATGACGTGGTTGCACAGCCGGAGCCGAGCCCTCCTACATCTGAAGATGATGAGGATATTAAGACTTTGCTGAACTCCGACAGGGCCGGCTCATGTGGAAGAAAAGGAGGATGCTGTCGAGACGAACCGAAGGAGAAGGCCAGTTCCTGTCTCCCAGTCGAGGAGGAACCCTCTCCAAACATGATGGATACTCCCATATCCGCCCCCAGACCAAAGGAAGAGCCTATTACCTCCAATCAGCCAGATGAAATGGTCACCAAGCAGATTTTGGTTCCATATGACCCGAAAACCGAGCCGATATTCCCACCGACGCTCTGGAAATACCAACCACGACCTATCTGCTATGGCGATAACCGAAGACTTTGGTTCAAACCCACAAATCTGGAGCAGCTACTACAACTCAAGGCCGCGTACCCAGCAGCGAAAATTGTGGGAGGTGCGAGTGAAACACAGATCGAGGTTCGCTTCAAGAAGTTGGCGTACCAGGTCAACGTCTTTGCAGCAGACATCGCAGAGCTCAACACCTTCCGGGAGCCTTTGCCCCAGACACAAGCCGAGCTCAGCGCACTGGATGAGATCTTCATTCCTGGCAATTTCACTCTGAGCAAAGTCGAAGAACTGTGCAGCGATCTTTATGGAAAGCTTGGCCCCCGGGCCTTCGCCTTTGAGGCACTGCGGAAGCAGCTGCGCTACTTTGCTGGCCGTCAGATCCGCAATGTTGCGAGTCTTGCTGGCAGCTTGGCCACAGCCAGCCCCATCTCGGACTCAGCGCCTGTGCTCCTGGCAGCGGGAGCTAAGGTCGTTGTGACGTCGCATGCAAAGGGAACATTTGACATCCCTCTATCGTCCTGGTTCATCCGCTACCGCACTACTGCCCTGCCAGAAGATGGTGTCATAACTCAGATTGTGGTACCACTTCCAGCTGTGGGTACTCGTGAGGTAACCAAAGCGTACAAACAGGCCAAGAGAAAGGATGACGACATTGCCATTGTTACGGCAGGCCTAAGAGTCCGACTTGATGAAGACGGTTTCGTCGAAGATTGTGCGTTTGCGTTCGGCGGCATGGCGCCCACCACTGCGATGGCGGAAAAGGCACAACAAGCCGTTCTTGGAAAGCGCTGGGGTGAGGCTGCAACTCTCGAGGTAGCTACGGATGCACTCTTGGAACAATTCGACCTCGCATATGGTGTCCCGGGTGGGATGGCACAATACCGCAGAGGTGGGAATTTCTGTTGTTTAAAGGCGATCGACCAAGCTAACAAATGCCATAGTGTTGACAATCTCCGTGTTCTTTCGGTTTTGGCATGAGGCTGTTCATGAATTGGGCCTGGCCAAAGTCAGCGCCGATCTCATTCAAGAGATCCATCGCAACATTTCCTCTGGCTACCGCGACAACTTCACCGCTTCCATGAAAAACAGAGGGACCCAGACTGTGGGAAGACCGATTCCTCATCTTTCGGCGTTAAAACATTGCACAGGCGAAGCCGAGTATCTCGACGACATGCCTCGACAGCACAACGAACTGTTTGGTGCTTTGGTTCTCGCTAAGAGAGCACATGCTGAGTTGGTCAGTGTTGACTACACTGCGGCCTTGGAGATGCCTGGTGTTGTCGGATACATCGACAAGAATAGTCCAGCCAAAGGGACAAACATCTGGGGTGCCGTGGTGCATGACGAAGAGCTCTTCGCCGAAGACATCATCCGCTACTATGGACAGGTCATTGCGTTGATTTATGCAGAGACCGCTCTCCAGGCCAGAGCAGCTGCCGATCGTGTTGAAGTTGTATACAAAGACCTTCCAGCCATCATCACCATCGACGAAGCGATTAATGCAGAAAGCTTCTTCAAGCACGGAAAGGAACTACGAAAGGGCGATGCTGTTGAGGGCTCTCTGGAGGAAGCCTGGAGCAACTGCGACCACATCATCGAAGGAACCACAAAAATGGGTGGTCAAGAACACTTCTACCTCGAGACCAACGCAGCACTTGCCATCCCGCACATTGAGGACGGCTCCATGGAAGTATACTGCTCAACTCAAAACCTGATGGAGAACCAAGTCTTTGTCGCTCAGGTATTGGGACTCCCAATGAGTCGTGTGAACATGAGAGTTCGTCGCATGGGCGGAGCTTACGGCGGAAAGGAGTCGAGAAGCACACCAATTGCGATGTACATCGCCCTCGCAGCTCGAAGCGCAAACCGACCGGTGCGTATGATGCTCAATCGCGACGAAGACATGGCCATCACCGGCCAACGACACCCTTTCCAATCACGTTGGAAAGTAGGCGTAAGCTCCCACGGCAAGATTCAGGTTCTTGATATGGATGTATACAATAACGGAGGAGCATCACTTGACATGAGTGGCGCAGTTATGTGAGTAGGTTTTGTTCATGCATATCGCCCATTGACTAAACACTACTAGGGATCGTGCTTGCACCCACATCGACAATTGCTATTACATCCCACATGCTTGGATCCGAGGCTGGGTTTGCAAGACCAACACAGTCAGCAACACAGCCTTCCGCGGCTTTGGAGGTCCCCAGGGTATGTACATTTGCGAAAGCATGATGTATAAAATATCAGAGGCTCTTCATATTGATGTTGACGAGCTCCGCCGCCGCAACCTTTACGAGATCGGCCAGCGAACCCCATTCTTGCAAGAGATCACAGACGACTTCCACGTACCGACCATGCTGGATCAACTCACCGTCAACTCTGACTACGAGAAACGCAAGGCTGCAATTAGAGAGTTCAACTCTAAGCACCGATTCAAGAAACGGGGCATTTCGAAGATCCCAACCAAGTTTGGCCTCAGGTGAGTTTTCACTAATTCTGACTGGTGGACCCTGACTGACTCATCTTAGTTTTGCCACGGCTGTTCACCTAAATCAAGCGGGAGCATACGTCAAGATCTATGAAGATGGCTCGGTGCTTTTGCATCATGGTGGAACCGAGATGGGCCAGGGCCTTTACACGAAAATGGCCCAAGTTGCTGCCGAGGAGCTGGGCGTTAGTGTCGATGAGGTCTTTAACAAAGACTCCCAGACTGATCAAGTTGCGAACGCCTCTCCGACCGCCGCATCCTCCGGGAGTGACCTCAACGGTCAAGCTGTGAAAAACGCCTGCGATCAGCTCAGAGAACGTCTCGCACCATACCGAGAGAAATATGGGGCAGATGCACCCATGTCGAAGATTGCACATGCTGCGTACACGGATAGAGTCAACTTGGCTGCAAACGGCTTTTGGAAGATGCCACGAATAGGATATGAATGGGGCAATTGGAAAGATCCTTTGCCCATGTAAGTCCTGGCTCCTCTGATCGTGACAGGTATTCTTTGCTGATGCCAGAGGTGCAGGTACTACTACTGGACTCAGGGAGTGTAAGTCCCAATATGGTCAACTGCAGCGTTAGGTATATGCTGACTAGTATTGTCTTAGTGCTATCAGCGAAGTTGAACTGGACACTCTGACAGGAGATTCAACGGTCCTTCGGACAGACATCATGATGGTAGGTGGCGAAGCTGCAATTACGAATGATCTTATGCTGACCACGCACAGGACATTGGTCGCTCCATCAACCCAGCAATCGACTATGGTCAAATAGAAGGTGCTTTTGTTCAGGGCCAAGGTCTGTTCACCATGGAGGAGTCTCTGTGGACCAAGTCCGGGGAGCTCTTCACCAAAGGCCCTGGCACGTACAAGATTCCAGGTGAGCAATACTCGTCACGTTCTCTGCGAATTTGGCTAGCTTGCTGACAACTTTCCAGGATTCTCCGATATTCCTCAAGAGTTCAATGTCTCGACATTGCAACACGATTCGGAAGGAAACCCAATTAGCTGGAGCAAACTGCGTTCTATCCAGAGCAGTAAGGGAACGGGAGAGCCGCCGCTGTTCTTGGGATGCACGGTTTTCTTTGCGCTGAGAGAAGCTATCAAGGCAGCTCGAGAGATGAACCACGTTAGGGAACCACTTGTGCTGAACTCACCAGCCACAGCGGAAAAGTTGCGGTTAGCAGTGGGAGATCCGCTGGTTCGGAGGGCTGCGGTCAAGGCGAAGGAAGGCGAGAAAGAATGGTTCACCAGGATCGAGTCATAATTCCATACCTCAATTCATCATAGGCACTCAAGAGAATCATCGCCATCGTCCCAAGTCCCCATGGCGGAGGCAGGTTGTTGAGCCAATCACCACGCCTGAGTACGCATGAACGCATGAACCAAAGTTGGGCAAATACATCGGTAAACGGATTCAACGGTTCTGAGACATGCATATGCGCCATGAACCGAAAAGGATTCATTCAGACGGCAAGCCTATGGACGATCACCATAGCCGAGGATCTGTGGAGGGGCGTGGGGAGACGGTGTCGTCGCCTTGGCGGTCGGTCCGGTCTCCAGAGCGTCTTCAGCTGCGGGGTAATTAGGTTGCCAGCTGAGTACCCGAAGTTTCACGGATCTCCGTTCGAGGATGCACTTATACCAATACCTACCTTATCTTTGACAGTATCCTGCCGGTAAAACTCAAATATCAGTGCGGGGTACACCTTGTTATTTCCAAGCCAGTACTACACCAACGCCTAACATCACCCATCATGGCTGCTACCACGAATGGTGACCACTCAAAGACGCTGAGCTTCAGCGACGACTTTGTCCAGATTATCAACGGAAAAGCTTCTCAGACAGAGAAGTCTCGAAATGGCATCAATCCAGCAAACCTGACTACGAAAGCAGAGGTGCCTGTGGCCACACGCGAGGATCTTGATCTTGCGGTCGCTGCGGCAAAAGATGCTTTCAAGACATGGTCCAAGGTTCCGTACGAAGACCGGAAGAAGGCTGTTCTGGCCTATGCAGATGCCGTCGACAGCTATCGCACTCAGTTTAGAGATCTTCTGATCTCTGAACAAGGAAAGCCTGTACGATACTACCATGATCTCACTTTTGAAGAAGTCAACTGCTGAGCTAGGTTGACACCAACTAGATCCCTCAAGCAGACGCCGAGACAGATGCTGCCATTAGCTGGATTCGAGGCATGGCTGGTATCTCACTCCCAGAGGATGTTGTAGAGGACAATGATCATCGAACCATCATCACTCGGTGGACTCCTCTGGGTGTGGTCGGGGCCATTGTGCCTTGGAACTTTCCCCTCCTTCTTGCCACGGGCAAGATTGCGCCGGCCCTCCTAACCGGAAATGTCATCATCGTCAAGCCCTCGTAAGTACACTTACGCCGAGAAAAGCTTTATTGTAGGCGCTGACGAACACGTAGACCATTCACTCCATACTGCGGGCTGAAGTTGGTTGAGTTGGCACAGCAATTCTTCCCGCCGGGTGTTGTACAGTCCTTGAGTGGAGATGATGACCTTGGTCCGTGGTTGACAAGTCACACGGGTATTGACAAGATCAGCTTCACTGGATCCACAACAACCGGAAAGCTAGTAATGCAGAGTGCAAGCAAAACTTTGAAGAGGGTCACTCTGGAATTGTGAGTTCTAACCCATGAAATCTTCAATCAAGTCAGGACTGACATTTAAAGGGGAGGAAACGATCCCGCTATCGTGTTCCCCGACGTGGATGTTGACAAGGTCGCTGAAAAGGTGAGGCGATTCCTTTGCCCGTGCAATTTCCTAGCTAACGATGGCAGGTTGCCTTCTTCGCTTTCCTCAATTCCGGCCAGGTATGTGTTAAGCCCTTCCCATCTTCTCGTGGTCCGCACTGACTCATCGGTAAGATCTGCCTGAACCTCAAGCGGATATACGTCCATGAGTCCATTTTTGATCAATTCAAGGAAGCCTTGGTTAAGCACGTAAAGGGGTACAACCTCGGCGATGGCTCGCAACCAGGTGTCACTCATGGCCCCCTGCAAAACTCCATGCAGTATGAACGAGTCAAGACATTCTTTTCGGACATTGAATCTCAGGGGTGGAAGGTTGCCGTGGGAGGCAACATTGAGAAGTCCCAAGGCTATTTCATTACCCCCACAATCATCGATCGTCCCCCTGAGAAGTCTCGTCTAGTTGTTGAAGAGCCCTTCGGTAAGTCTTTGAATTCATACATGGCCCTTTTATACCTCGCCTCTAATGATATTCGAACAGGTCCTATTGTGCCTCTTCTATCGTGGAGCAGCGAAGATGAGGTTATTTCTCGGGCCAACGACACTTCGATGGGTCTTGGAGCATCCGTGTGGACGAATGATTTGAAGAAAGCAGCCGAAGTAGCCAAACAGATCCAAGCAGGAAATGTCTGGATCAATACACACTTCGATCTGTCACCTCTCGCACCATTCGGGGGGCACAAAGAAAGTGGTATTGGAACTGAGTGGGGCGCGAATGGTCTGAAAGCTTTCTGCAATAATCAGACGCTTTTCTTGAACAAGAAAGTCGTCAGTTAGTGGCAAGAGATCTCAATACAATGCATCTACTTCTCTTTCGAGACATTGAAGCAAGTCATTCAGAATCTCCAGAGTGAAGTCGTATTCATTGATCTTGGGTTTTGCTGGATGTCGATGGTGTCTGCCAGCTTGGGTTGTTTGATGCACTCGGTCTGAAGTTTGCATCAAAGTCGTCGTAATTTCTTTATCACGGCGTCGAATGACAAGTTTCTGCCTTTTCAGTCATGCGAATACGTCTAGCTAACCGGATGGGTGTGGGCATAGACGACACTGGGAAGGAAGGCCGGGACGACGATGACAACAACGATGGGGACGAAAACGATAATAGGCATATCAGAAGGGCGAAAGTAGATGCACATCGGAAGATCATAGGAAGAAAATGAAGTAGCATTCATATTTCCCTCAATTACGACCAAATCAAAATTGGTTTGATTGTAGTTCCATCCTCCATATCCTTCACAGCTAACTCAAAGTCCTTAACCTTCAGGGAAAGTCACATCAGTATTAGAATCAGCGTGCAGGGCCCAGTACTTACATCGTAGGTCTTGATAAGCTTTTCCAATGGGAACCTTCCCTCATGGTACCATTGAATAAGCTGAGGGATATACTGAATGATGATTCAGCCAATTGTCCGAGTCTCACAGACACAAACTTACATCCTCAGGGTATACTCCTCCTTCCATGCTGCCCAGCAACTGCTTGCCACTCTGTATCGAGTCAGGTCGAAGCCTCTACCATCTGCACAGCACATTTGACTTACCACCATGTGTGGAACAATAGGCAGATCCAAGCTTGCATCCATTGGCGCAACGCCTAGCAAAATCATCTTCCCTTGGTTCGCGGTGAACTCGAGCCCTTGTTTAATCAATGGCACAACCCCGGTAGCATCTACTGTGATGGTGCTCCCCGGCCCACCAGTGAGCTTTCGAATTTCTTCTGTCAGTGTGTTCGTGATGTTTGCGGTGTTGACGGTGTGGGTTGCTCCAAGCGACTGAGCGAGATCAAGTCGGCTAGGCACGCGGTCAATTCCGATGACGGTTCGACAGCCAATGATCTTCGCAGCCTGGAAGAAAGTTCAGAATGATTTCAAAGTGAAAGATACTGGAATTCAAGTTTCTACTTACCATTACTGCTGCAAGACCGACCCCACCAAGACCAATGACAGCGACGGTGTCGTCTTGTGTTGCCGCAGCTAGCTTTGTAATAGTACCGGCACCAGTCTAAAAGTTCTATCAGTCTGCGGGAACACTAAAGTTTGGATTCGAACATACTTGTATGCCACAGCCCAGAGGCGCCAGCATTTTCAGCTCGTCTTCGCTGTTTACGAGGCGAGTAACGTTGACTATCGATGTTTGCTTCACCCGAGCCAACCGAGAAAAGCTTGACTGTCCGAAAAAGGACCCGCCGACCGAAATCCTTCCAGTGCGCGAGTTCGAAAACGAAGTGGAGCATCCAGTGAAGTTGATTTCGTTGAAACTCTCACAATATCCCGGCGCGCCAAACTTGCAGTTGTGGCATTGGGTACAGAAAGCAAAGGACAAAAGAACTGCATCTCCAGTTTTGACTTTTGCGACTTTATTCCCGACCGACCTGACGTAGCCAGCACCTGTGATGTTGTTAGTCGTGCTCATTCAACAGTACGGTGCGTAATGGAGCCGTGCCTTCATGCCCAACAATGCGAGGGTATGGAGGGACTGGAAAGCCAGGCGTCCCATCCGGCGCGGATGCACAACTAAGGTCCGTATGGCATATGCCAGTGGCAATTACTTCAACGATAGCCTCATCGTCTTCGGGTTGCGTGAGTTCAACATCTTCAAGTCTCCACTGTCTCTTCCCATTTTCAGGGGGATAGGCAACAATGGCCTGCGTGGCTACGTATGCTGACGCCATTGTTTGATGAGACTGATTCAAGGTAAGTCTGATATGATGAAAACGCACATTGAAGTGTCGTCCTATCTTTCCTCCCCGTTATGTATGTTCAAAGGCTAAATGGCTCTCCAATTTGTTGGTCATCTCGATCGCTAATCTCTATGTCAACACAACGGCTTTGCGCCATCTCAGAGCCAGTTCTCTGAGGGCTCTGATGTCGGACCGGCCTCCGACGTACCCAAGCCCAATACCGAGGTACTTCATATGGTGGCTGTTTCAAATATTCTCCAAGGGAGCAGACTTGTCATAGTCGGGACTCGGTCCTATCCTTGCCACACCCCGCATCCCCCCACGAGTGATGTCCCAGCCCAATGCAGTACCCCGCAAACCCCAGATCCCCCGCCCGCGAGTGCCGAACTATCTCTTTTGTCCAATGGAGTGTAACATTTACCGTGGCTCCGGAAGCGTGTTGCCATCGGAACTTTCTCGGGGACCCTAAGCACGGTGGATAAGTAAAGTTCATCCCTCTTCCTAGGCTCCTTGAGAAGACAACCATTCAAACACCTGATCATATGCGATTATGGCCCCTTCTACAATGACTACGGTACAGCAAACAGCTTGCTTCGTGAGTTCCATCTACTGACAGCAATACAGACGACGGAAACTACCAAGACCAATGGTATCAGTCACTTAGATGCTGCGGAGCTGCCTTCGAAGATCGCGCCGAGCTCCAAGTGGGTCGATATCAGCGACTCCATTAAGGCAGATCCATCAATTAGCGTAAAGGCTTCTGATGGACCTGTTGGTGATTTTGGTTGGGGTCCATGGAAGATCCAAGGTATGTAGCAAGCCGTGCAGAATTATGTGGTAAAACCTGACCCAAACCTTCTCGCAGATGTCCTGATTCCGCCCAGTGCCGGTCGAGGCATGATCAAAAAATACCATCAGCGCAGAACTCTCTACCAGTACACCTTTCTCTCCTTAGCCGGACTTTGGTCATTCTATAACCTTGAGAACACGTCATATCGTGCTGCGGCGCTTGGCTTCCTCTTCCCGGGCGCGGGATTCACGGCAGTCGCCAGCCCTACAGCAGCAGCAGCCTTCTTGCTCACGGTTGTTCTCATCCCGGTGTCAATCTTCGTTTGGTTTGCCATGGGCGGCATTGCATTTCCCATCGCGCTATGGATTGGATCCAGCTTCATGGCTGGCCGTCTTGCCCAGGACACTTTGTTCGAACAGTCCGCCGCGCTATGGGCTCTCGGTTGCTTCAGTGGCATCACATGGTTGATGAGCAATGCCAGCTCTCTCAATGCTGCTGGGTACTCAAAGGCTCAAGAGAGGAACAAGTACCTCATGCAGGCCGTCGAAGAGCAGATGGCCGACGCCGCACCTGCACCTCAGTCTGGCGATCGTGAGCTATCCCTCGAGACTCTCCGGCACGTGCAGCATATGATCGAGCGAGGACTTAGTCCCCGTGACGACTTCAGCTTCCACGACGTTATCGACCAGTTCCAGACAGGCGCCATTCGCTATCAGCTGTACGGGACTATCGACGCCTTGAGTCTTTACCAGTGCCACTACGTCCCAGGTTTCCATGGCTATCTCTCCAAGGCGTGTCAAAATGCCATCGAGAAGAGTCTTCAGAAGAGGATCATGTCGTGAGTAAATCACATCAGAGACTTGGAAAATTTGAGTAACATGGCGTCAGGTATTGGAAGTGGGAGTCAATCTTTGGACGGTTCACCCTTAGCGATTGGGATCCAATCAAGAAGGACAACATCGTAAGTTATTCAACAACCTAATGGATCAGTGTTAATCAACATCATCTTAGATGGTCACTGGGTACTTGAGTGCTGCCATTGGTCTCTACGGCCAGGCATCGGGCGATCGACAGTACAACAAGAAGGATGCCCTCGAGTTTGTCATTGATGACGGAAAGCACTACAAGACCAATTACGAGGGCCTCGCAGATGCGCTATTCAACAACATGACTGAGAATCCGTACTGCCTGTATCCGTGCGAGCCGAACTGGACTTACTCACTTTGCAAGTGCGTCATTCCCCCTAAGACTCAAGTACTAGAGCTGATTAAGGATCTGCAGCTTGACTGGCATGGCTGGGCTTGTCATTTCTGACCGTCTCCTCGGTCGTGATCTAGGAGTGAAGCTCCGCAACAGGTTCGAAAGATCTCTTGAGGAAGAGTTCACTGAATGCGACGGCCGGATCCTACCAATTCGAAGCGAGTTCACCGGCTTGACGGTATGTAACGGGATGGCTTCACCAGAAAGATGTGAACTAACGAGTTCTCTATGCAGCTCCCAGGTCTTTGCGGCACTCTTACCGACTGCATCAATGCGATGCTGCTGACTGCCTACCTTCCCCACCTGGCCCACCGAAACTGGGCTATGATCCGGAAGGAGTTCCTCAAGTACGACAAGAATGGCCAGCTTGAGGTTAGAAACCTTAAGGGCGCCGATAAGATGGACCCGGGGAACTATCGGGCTAGCGAGGGACCCCTCCGAGCGTTCATCGCTGCGACCGCGGCCGAGTTCGGCAACGAGAAGATCAGGAAGGAGGCATTGGACCAGCTTGACAACACCTACTTCCCTGTTGAGGCAACCAAGTCGGGCTCTCTGAGGAACAAAGGTCTGTCAGCCACATCACAAGTAATCGCTTTGATGGCGCGTCTCGTTAAAAATCGGGACCTCGCCAATGCCACGCTACATGGTCCGCCTGAGAACGCATTGAAGGGACCCCTACTCGAAGAGGCTCCGTTCCCAGACGTTCTTGTGGCGAAAGCGTACAGTAATGACGGAAAGCAACTTGATCTTGTGTTGTACAATGGTGCTGAGCCAGGGACCTTCGAGTTGGGATTTGAAAGGCTCGTCCCCGGTAAGGAGTACTCGCTAAGCACTGGAGGATCGGTCAAGGCGAACAATAAGGGAAAGGCGACGGTGAAGGTCTCAGTGAAGGGTCGCACTCAAATCATTCTGAAGCCAGTTGTCTAGACTGTTACTCTATTTCCTTTCTGTCAAGTCTGCGATTAGTTTGGTCGCAACAGGAACCTGGGTCCAGACTGTATGATGTTACCAATGAAATCAAGTCCTTCAAGCAGTTCATGATGTTTTGCCATCCTCTGTCTTGATATGATTCCACAGCCCATGCGGACAAGTCAATGTGATGCAATTGTTGCAATACAACGCCAACACTACGCTCAATAATCTTTGACAACGCCAAATACTTCTACTGGAAAACAGGACTACTCCGCTCACGGTCGGTGACCACAATGCAAATCATTTAAGTTGTCTTTCTATCATTTACTCTTCACTCGAACACCCCACTAAGGCAGATTGTCTAGCCTTGTCCGCAATCGACAAGACTGTACGGTGATGAAAATCGAAGACGTGGACATCATCGCAGCGGCGACAGACCTGAACATATGTCAGTGTCCAAATCTCTCCATTTTTCAAAGGCTTGACAGTACTTACGGTGTCATGGCAAATCCAAATGGCTTTATCCAGCCTACTGCCATCACGAAGGCGAGAAGGTTATATGCCGCAGTCCATCTCAGGTTGAACGTAATCTGTTGCTTGGTGAGCTGCGCAATTTTGAATGCAAGGCAAACCAGATCTATCCGCGAGTTAAGAATCATAACTGAAGCACCCGTGGTAGCCAATGCATTATTGTGGTACACGGCAAAGCCAACGTCCGCAGCTGCAAGACTCGGAGCGTCGTTGAGTCCATCACCGACCTGAATCGTCAGTATTGCGTGCAAGGAAGTCTTCGAGATTGAGTATGCCGACTCACCATAGCCACTGCATTCCCTTTCTTCTTCTTGGAAGCGTTGATGAAAGCGAGTTTGTCGGTTGGCGAGGCTTGTGATGCCAAAACAGGTATTCCCAAATGACTGGCGACTCTGTGAGCTTCGTCGGCCATATCGCCCGTAAGCTGCCGTCAGTTAGCTTCAGTACAACTCATAAGTCTGATGTTGTCCTAGGACAAATCCTCACCAGAGAGCACTTATATCCCGATGAGGTCAGCGCTGCTATCGTGCTTTGCGCCTCAGCCTTCACCGTATCCTTGCTCATGGTCAGTGATCACACGCCACAAGGCAAAGGCCGTCCGACTCACCGAAACTAGTATCTTCCCAGCATAGCAGCCGTCTATTCCAATGTGCGCCTCAATCTTACCACTTCCCACAGCTTCGCCGTGGTCGCGAATGTCGTTGATACCAGCAGCTCTGAGGTATTTTGAGCTTCCCACAATCACATAATGCCACTCATCTTTGGTAATGCGAACGTTTCCGGAAACACCTTGACCGGCTGAGCTGCAGATCTCGCGCGTCTCACCCTGAGCTTGGAAGCGCAGCCAATCTTCACCCAAAGATTTGACGCCACTTGAGAAGATGCTCTTACCCACTGGATGACCAGTAGCATCATTGACCTCAGCTGCACAGATCAATGTCCAAAGTGTTTTCTCCCTGTAGGCCCACTGAGGTGATGGAAAGAGGTCCGAGACAGTCAAGTTGTCCCCGGTCAATGTCCCAGTCTTATCGAAGATAACGGACTTCACCTTCGCCAACTTCTGTATCGTCGAAGCACCCCCAGTAATCAACAGCCCTCTTTTCTGTGCAGAATCTAAACAATATCAGCTCAGAGAACGTAGCAAGAGGCCAAATGGAGAGCTTACAGACCGCTGTTGCAACCGCGGATGGTATAGCAAGGCCAAGAGCACATGGGCATGCGCTCATCAGAATAGTCATCGATCTAGCTACGGCGAATCGAACGTGCTGATATTTCGGTCGCAGTAAGTTGAGTCGAAAGACACCGAGGATGGGAAGAACGATTGCGAAGAAAATGACAGCTGTGACGAAATACTTGATGATGTCGTCTAGCAGAGCATCGCTATCCGACTTCGTTGCGGAAGAGTCTGCAACACTCTCCAAAAGCTTGGAATAGAATGATTGGCCCTTCTCGTTCTTGACAACACAGACTAGTCTTCCGTGGAGATTTCGCGTACCGCCCATTATTATGTCGCCAACGTCCCTTCGAACAGGAAGAGACTCCCCTGTCAACATTGACTGGTTGACTAGAGATGATCCAGATATGATGTAGCAATCGCATGGTATTGTTGAAAATGGCTCGACGAATATTTCGTCGGATGATCGAAGATATGTCGATGGAACGTTCTGTACTGAGATTAGTCAGGTCAATCAAACACCAATAGATTGTGTCTCACTTCGCCAGAAGGACTCAGTCGGACAAAGTCAATCTCTGTCAGGGGCTTGTAGATCTTGATCAAGTCTTTTGAAACTTGTCGTCGCGAAAGACACTCCAGATATCTCCCACCCACAACCGTCAGCGTCAAACCAGTGGAGGTAGCCAAATACATGGTGGCAGTTCGAGGGCCCTGGACAAATAGGTCGATGCAGGAGAACGAAATTCCCAAGAACACAGCTAGGGCCACCAAGGTGTTCATAGTGGGACTTGCCCCCTTGATCCATCTCCAGCCATCAGCATGAATCCACGAAACATGTCGCCATTGGCAAGAGACTGCGACTCCCAGCGCTGCCACCTGCAATGCCCAAAGAACTATAGTTTCTAGGGCCGATGGACCCCGGATTTGATATGTCGCCATTTCGATTAGCTGAACAATTGCCGCATTCTTCCCAACATTGGAAAAGCTCGCCCACAACATCTTTGACTCTCGCCTTGACTCGAGAAGGTCCATGATCTCCTTTGGGGAGCGAGGTCCAGGTTCTGCCCCATACCCCAGATCTCGCACAGCTTGCAGAATACCGTCGAGGTCCAAGGTCGAGTTTGCTCCCACAACAGTCGCTTGCTGTAGATGCAAAGATACTCTTACATCTTTCACCCCATCAAAACCCAGGATCGCTCTCTCGATGCTGCTTGAGCAAGCTGCACACGACATTCCAGACAGCGATAGAACGATCGCGTTTGAGTTGCAGCTTTTGACGGATGCAGTCCGCGCATGGCCGCTCTCAGTTTCTGGCAGAGCTTCCGTGCCTGTGTCGTCATTATAGTGAATGCTGTCGTCCAAGTCGAAGAACTGACAAGCTTTGACCAGCTGCCCTATGCAAAATGCGGCAATGAAGCAACATGCCATTATTGACGACTGGGTAAAGACTGTTGATTGACTGACAGCTGGCCCAGAGTAAGCACCATAGCTAGGACCTTCTATTCACTCAAACTCACAAGTCTAACCCCGACGGGGTTTCACTGGTCGTAAGTGGACGGATTTGCGGCGGGGCAGCAACCAACCCCTCTCTTCGGTCCGGCTGTCCGTGGGAGAGTCTTAACGCGGGGAAGCGATTGACCCCGCGGGGTTCAATCATGGATCTACCCTGTAACTACCCATTCGAGCGCCCGGAAGACGGGTTACTGCGTAGACGCAATCAATTTCTGTTCATAGTTCACAGATTATGATTGTCTGAGCGGCACAATGAAGCGCACGCCGTCGACGACACGTTTCGGTACGTGACGGGACAATGAGTCCGTCTAGCCTGGGCAATAGGCGTTCTTAGGGGACATCGTCATCTTGATGTGAAAATATGTGCAAGTGCTGAATCTAGATTTAAACCGTACGAAATTTGTCTACATCGCGAGAAATGCTTCGATAGTACAATGGCGTTCGCACATGGAGTCCGCCATCACTCAACTGAACAAAGTACGACGCCTTCGCCCACAGCATCTCCAACCTTCCACTTTGTCTCGAACTTTCCAGCTACATTTGCTCTGATATTGATCTCCATCTTCATGCTCTCTATCACCATAACACTCTCGCCGCTTTTAACGTCCTCTCCGGTTGCCTTTCCAATAGAGAGAACTTTGCAGGGCATCGGGGCTTTGATCTGAGCCTGTTGGTCAGTAGTAACCTGTGCATCTTTGCGTAGGCCTGAGAAGAAGGATAATAGTGTATCACGCCGCAATTCCTTCCACTCTCCTATTTGAGGGACGTGGCATAGGATTGACTGGGTCTCATTCGGCGTCCAGCCAGCTGAGCGCTGTCCTAAGGAAGGAAGAGAACAAAACACTTGTAGTCTTCGCCCGTCCACAACGAATGTCAATACCCACGATGGTGGGATACTAGCCCTCGAAGAAAAGCTGCCGGTCTCGTGGGCTGGCCTGAGAGTGATATCCTGAATTATGAAAGATGGCCCTTTCCAAGCGTCACCACTCCGGAAAGCCTGACTCAGGATAGTGTATTTTGACGTAAGACGTTGGGCCGGAGCCGAAGGTGACGGTTCTTGCTCGACGGGGTCATCCAGAGAAATGTTATGGAGTTGAACGCGCCATCTGTCACCTGTAGGTCCATCGCATGGCCGGCGAAGGCAAGCCTCGCATGAGGTCGCTGATTCCGAGGCTTTCGAGTCTCGCGTCGAAATGATCTCACAGCCCTGCTGAAAGGGATCGAACTTCTGGTTGTGAAAGCCTCGACGAACTCCACCAAACGGCTGTCGTCGAACACCTTGGGTCCGAGACGCTTTCTTAAGGGCGTCAAAAAGCAGACCGGGAATGGCAGAGGTGTATCTGGGCAGCTCTGGAAGGTATGGATTTCGAAGCAATTCGTGAAGATGGGTCGGGATGAAAGATGTTTGGTATGCTGTGTCCTTGAATCCTGGGTGAAGGAGACAGCTCTGAAGGAACAGCTGATTCGTCTTGATTCCAACGCACGCGGTATTCGCCAGCTCGTTCGCGAGGACATCGATAGCCAAGGTTCTTGTAGGTGCCCACACCACAATTTTGCAAATCATGGAGTCGAAGTAGATCGATATCGATGCCCCGCTTTGCATTGCCGTCTCGTAACGCACTACAGAGCTAGCACCTCGATGGGGGTTTGCGGGCTTCCATAGGGCAACTGTGTCATGACTTGGCATGAAGTCCCGATTGGGGTCCTCCGCGCAAAGTCGACACTCAATTGCATGTCCAGTCTGTGTCAAGGCAGATAGTTCAGGAACATCGGCAAGACGCCCGCCAGCCGCGACGTAGAGCTGCAATGACACGAGATCAACGCCGACAACTTCCTCTGTGATGGGGTGTTCGACTTGAAGGCGAGTGTTGACTTCCAAGAAATAGAACTTTTTGGTGGCCGTGTCGACGACAAACTCCACGGTCCCTGCTCCTTCGTATCCTAGAAGCTTCCCGATTTTGACGGCCGTGTCACTCATGCTTTTCTTAGTCTGTTCGTCGAGAAACAAACACGGCGTTTCTTCAATGACTTTCTGATTGCGACGCTGGACGGAACAGTCGCGTTCAAACAGAGACACGGCGTTGCCATGCTGGTCTCCAACAATCTGAATCTCGACGTGCTTGCTGCTCTCGATGAACCTTTCCAGAATGCAGTCGCTAGAACCAAAAGATCTCTGGGCTTCCGACTGTGCGCGGTCCAGTTCCGACTGGAGCTGAGAAGCTTCGCGGACTACTCGCATACCTTTGCCACCGCCTCCAGCAGAAGCCTTGAGCATGACAGGGAAGCCAATGCGTGTCGCCGCATCTTGGAGATCTTCCACATTCTGGCTAGACCCGGAGAATCCTGGAATCAGGGGCACTTCCGGTGCGTGGGTTCTCAAATATTCTTTGGAGGTCCGCTTGTCGCCTAGTGTCGAGATTGTCTGACCAGTTGGCCCTACGAAGGTCAACCCCGTGGCGCGAACACGGTCCGCAAAGTCGGCATTCTCGCTCAGGTAACCATAACCGGGATGGACGGCATCGGCGTGGGCTTCCAGGGCGGTCTTGAGGAGGAGGTCGATGTTGAGAAAGGGGTTTTTGGTGTCGTGTTCGATGGATCCGATACAGATAGACTCATGTGCGTCTGCTACGTGTTGCGACAAGGCATCTCTGCATTTCTTGTCAGACGAGTACGAATGGACCTAGTTGCGTTCTAGGACACCTACTCCTGAGTGTACACTGCCACTGTCTGAACACCAAGCTTGCGACACGTCGAGATAATACGACAAGCAATCTCCCCACGATTCGCAATCAGAAGTTTCCGAATTTTTGACTGGCCATCGGCGCTGAGCGGGATCGTAGCTTCGAACAATGGTGGTTTGTTGATATTCGTCATCTTGAAGACTCGCGCAGTGATGTTCGACAGGAAAGAGTGGGAAACCCGTACGGAACTTCTGCTATTACATGTGGCCGTATTGGCTTGATCGCCGCATCATTTTTGAGCAGTCGCGAGTACCGGTCCGTGTGACGTAGCTTGTAAACAGTGATCCTGCCTCGGGGACTCGGTACCGAACTGTTAGCTTCCCGAGATCGAAGAATCCGATGATTTTCGACCATGGGCCATCAATAGCCATTTTGGATGGCCCGAGCACCGGAGCGCGGTCCGGGTGGAGACCTGCAGGTCCCTCGGCTCTTGCATGGCTTCCCCGCTGGGGACCGGGGGCTTACGGCAACATTGCCGGAACTAGTGCCCAATGAATTGCGGACTCTTGTCGAGGTCGGGACAGGGTTCTTTCTTAGACGAATTTCTCAATGGAGGCCTGGGTGAGCCGGAAATCGGAGACGTGGATTTTGTAGACTGAACTTACAGCATGTTCTGCAGTGGACATCAACATGAATGATTTCAGCACGACGTCGAAATTTGGTGCCCGTCATTTATCCCTAATTAAAAATCGACTAGCAATTGGGATGCACTTCGCATGACACGTGGTTGGATTTGAAGTTGAACCATTCATATGCACGTCATTCAATGACAACCTTGATTGATCTTGAAAACAGTCTATTGCGCGCTAAATCCTGGACAAAAGCCTATGTGATTGGGTGTCCTTCTTGTTCGGCAGCTGCACCACTTCCAAGCACATCCCTAGAACATCGCGAGTGTCCCTCGGATCTATGACTCCATCATCCACCAGAATGGAACTAGTTGAATAACATTCCGAGTCTCGATATGCATCATCCCTCACTTTCTGTGCCTGAGACTTGATCTGCTCTGTTGAAAGCTTGCTGCCGCCGTTGGACTTGGACTTGATGGTCTCCATCACGCCTGCCAACTGATCTGGGCCCATCACACTGCAACGCCCCGTTGGCCACGTGAAAAGAAACCTGGGTCGGTAGGATCTTCCACACATGGCGTAGTTGCCGGCACCATAGGAGGCTCCGAGAATGATGCTGATGTGCGGGACTGAAGAACAACTCACAGCTGATACGAGCTGCGCGCCTGCCTTGATGATACCGGCATGCTCCGCCTTGGTGCCAACCATAAACCCAGTTACGTTGTGGAGGAAAACAATGGGAATAATCCTACAAAAGAATTTTGGTAAGCAGATCATACTTCGTAAGGTAGGGTAGTGTAACATACTCCTGGTTGCACAGTCTGATGAATTGAGCTGCTTTCAGAGCCTCTTGCGGGTGAATTACAGGCGTCTGATTCGCAACAATACCCACTCGGAACCCTACACGGGAATGGTTAGTGACCGGAGAGAAAGACGCAGTCGACGTTTGAGGGTAAGTTGATGGGCTTACCGAGAATATCAGCCCAAGCAGTGAGCATGTTGACACCATAGCCTGGTTTGAAAATCGAAAGCCTCGAGTCATCAACAATGCGCAACAAAACCTCTCTCATGTCGAAGGGTTTGCGGATGTCGGTGTTCACGATCGATAGAAGGTCTTCAACTGGATATCGAGGAGGCAGTGGCTCTTCAACCATGCCTCCTTGGTGGCTAGGGTCTAGTGGGTTGAGTGTGGCAACCCATTCCCGCGCCTTCTGAATGGCATCAAATCTGTGATCAGTCAACACCGTCTCCTCTAAACCTTTCCCGTCGCAAATGTGCTCTTACTCGTCAAATGCCGTGTGGTCAGCCAGGCCAGTCACTGTTCCGTGAACCTTGGCTCCGCCGAGCTCCTCGGCAGTCACAGTCTCTGATGTCGCCATCTTCACAAGGGGTGGACCTCCCAGAAATACCTGTGCTTGGTTCTCAACGAAGATGGTGTAGTCCGAGAGAGCCGGGTGATATGCTCCACCGGCAGTTGAGGGGCCGAAAACCACAGCACAGGATGGCTTCCCATGCTTGGAGCGGATGGCTAAATCGCGGAAAAGTTGTCCACCTTTGTGAAAGACCCTAAACTGCTGTGGCAGAAAGACGCCCGCCTGAGATCGATTAGTGCATAGCCCTGACTTTGCGAACTGACATTCGTGCGTACCGACTGCACCAGAGAGATTAACGGAAGATCATTCTCAAAGCCGACTTCCAAGATTCTGTTCACTTTATGCACTGGGAAAGGTGATTCTTAGCCAAATCCAAATGGGCAGGGGAATGTTCACCAACCTGTCATCTCGTTCCAAGCTCCACCACTCTGGGTTGGGATATGAGACATGACGAGGCATGGCCGTCCACTGTCCTAACGTTAATCATCATAGAACCGGATGCTACCGACAAGCTGAGTTACCTGACAAGAGCTATACCAGCAATGAGGTTACCGCAAGAATTCGAGTCTGCATTTCGAAACCCAGCAAAAGCTCCTAACTCTAGAAATGGCGACTCTGCATCCAGTAACAAGTTGATCCTATCTCGCGCTTTTTAAATAATCAGTGTAATGTCTTCCGATATAGGTTGTGGGAATACCTACGCAACAATTGCCCTCGTCCTTGATGTCTAGCTGTCGACACATCGTCACCCTCGGAAGAAACCTGCCGAAGGTTTGAGTCGAATTCTCTAAGTACTTTCTCCCATTGAGATCGGTTTTCTTGGAAGTTTGGCGCACCGAGGTCGAGGGCCGACTTCTCAACTGGGAATGGTTGTGCCATTTTGCCGTAAGCTCAAGCGCGGATGTAATGCAGCCTCCTTGGTGAGATTCGGTGCCCAGTATAGTTCAATGTTAATGATATCCTTGTTTTTCTGGTATTTGCGGTTGCAATATCGGTGGAATGGTCGTCGGCACTGGTGATGCGTAGTGTTGGGCCGGCGCGGGGATTAAATCCGGGGTTCGGACCGTGACCGATAGGCCGAGGCCGCCCCCAGCTTTCATGCTCTACCGGCCCCGCAAGCACTGGGTGCAGTCACTCTGGTGTAAGAGCCGAATGTATTTGGGTGTTGCCGCTAGACCGTCTTCAGATGACATATCTTGAACTATCGTTCTGCGGATTGAGAACTTGTCATTCTCAGAATTTTGTACTCCTCTCATCCGCGCCATCACAATGTCAGCCACCGTCGTGTCCTCCTCTTCCCCCAACAGGCCCCTTCAGCAGACGCCATCTTTGGTATTTGGGCCGAAGGATCCCCCGCTTCTTGAAAAGACGCTTGGGTCTGTTATCCAGGACCAAGCCAAGGCGTATGGTGATCGCACAGCCGTCGTTGTGCCCTGGCAGTCTACCCGCCTGACGTACAAGGACCTCGCAGACCGGAGCAAGATCACTGCTAAAGGCTTGCTTGAACTTGGTTTGAAGCATGGGGATTGCGTGGGAATCATGGCAGGAAACTGCTATCAATACATCGAGCTGTTCCTCGGGGCGGCGCGTATCGGCTGCCCATTTGTTGTTCTGCACAACACCTACTCTTCGGATGAGCTGAGTAGTGCTGTCTTGCACAGCGGTTAGTCCTTCTGTTCACTACGACGTCATGTTTCTGACACCGTGAATAGACTGCAAGGCGGTTTTCATGGCTTCTCAGATCGGATCAAACTCGCTGTTGTCTCATATTCAAGCCCTGTCCGCTCTGCCCAAAGGGTCTAAGCTTGAGCATATCGTGTGTCTCGACACCGCCAGATTCCCAGGCCAAGGCATTATGTGCCAGACTTACAGCACCTTCCTCAACGGTGGTCATTCGATCTTCATGAACGATTCAGCTTTGAGACGTGCGGAGCGAAAGGTTCGCCGCTCCGATACCCTCAATCTCCAATTCACTTCTGGTAAGATCCCTCCTTCCATTTCTACATGCATGTTTTGTGCTAAACGAAACCACTCTAGGGACAACTGGGTCACCCAAAGCCGCAGTTTTGACCCATTTGTAAGAGCTTACTCCCAAGAAGCGTTGATATCACATCGCTAACTAATTTCACAGCAATTTGATCAACGACGCTAGGTTCGTGGGCGATGCGATGCAACTCACCCACGAAGATGTCGTATGCTGTCCCCCACCTCTATTCCACTGTTTCGGGCTCGTCATGGGCTTTCTAGCCGCCTTCTGCTACGGAAGCTCCATCATCTTTCCCTCCGATAGCTTCAATGCCCAAAGAACTATTGACGCCATCATCAACGAGAGGGCCACCGCCCTTCTCGGAGTCCCGACAATGTTCATTGCGGAGCTAGAGGCTCTGAAGAAGTCCGGTCATCGTATCAGCACCGTACGCACCGGTCTCGCAGCGGGATCTCCGGTTCCGCCTCCACTGATGGAGAGTCTGCGCAAGGAAATGCAGATTGGCGGAATGCTCATTGCTTACGGGATGACGGAGACCAGCCCAGTCACCTTCATTACGGCTTTGGGTGATACCGATGACAGGATGTTCAAGAGCCTAGGCAAGGTGCTCCCCCACACTGGCGCAAAGATCGTGGATACAAGCGGTAACATTGTGCCACGAGGCACCCGCGGAGAAATTTGCACCAGCGGCTTTGCTTTGCAGAAGGGATACTGGAAGGACGAGGAGAGAACACAGGAGGTGATGAAAACAGATGAAGATGGAGTTACATGGATGCACACCGGCGACGAGGGTTTCATTGACAATGAAGGTTACGGCCACATCACCGGCCGTATCAAGGACTTGATCATTCGTGGTAAGTTATAATTATCCTATGACAATTCAGTGTCTAAGACCATATCAGGCGGTGAGAACATTTCACCCATCGAGATTGAAGCTCGCTTGCTATCTCATGCCGCCATTGGAGAGTCTTGCGTAGTGGGTCTTGATCACAAGAAGTACGGCGAAGTTGTGGCTTGCTTCCTGAAAATAGCTTCAGACGCGACCAGGCCCTCTGATGAGGAGATTAGGACATGGGTCACGCAGCGATTGGGCCGGCACAAGGCCCCCGAGTACATCTTCTGGCTTGGAAGTCCCGATGTTGGTAGCGAGCTGCCAAAGACCGGCAGCGGAAAGTATCAGAAGCATCTTGTCAGGGAGCTTGGAAATGCATTGGTGAAGCGGTCTAGAGTACAGGCAAAGTTGTAAACTAGCGCAAATTCATTTAGAAGAATATCGATTTTAGTTCCATCATACCAAGCTGATGTTCATCTTGACTTGATGACATATTTGATTATGTATATAGCTATCTGTTGAGATTCTGATGACATTGTTAACCTCCCGTATTGCTGCAAGCTCACCCCCAAAGTCCCTTTTGTGGAAAGCTCATTCCGATGTGAATATCACCCGCCGGATGTAAGCAGCCAACGAGGAGCTAATCAACGACAGGTCTCCTTCTTCACGACTGCGTTAACCGAAAATGGTTCATGAAAGCCGAATTGCCCAATCAGGACGGCCGGCCCTCGGCACTGGGAGTGGGTACGTACCTGTTCCGGGAAGCGGTCCGGACCCCAAAGACCGGGGTAAGTAGGTAGTCGGCACCACCAAGCCACCATAGCTAGCCCTAGCAAGTACCTCGTAATTGTCCCCTTTCTGGCCGTGTTATTCGCTCGCATGCTTGTTCGTCAAAGGAAACAGGTTTTGGTTCCAGATGTCTGTTAGAATCGTCGAAGTTGGCCCCCGCGATGGCCTCCAAAACGTCAAAAGCCCGATTGACACCGGCAACAAGCTAGCGTTGATTGAGAGGCTTCGCCAAGCCGGTCTCCGAAACATAGAGATCACTTCAGTTGTGTCTCCAAAAGCAATCCCGCAACTTGCAGATTGCCGCCAAGTACTTTCATCGGGTCTTATTCGAGAATGGCTACGATCATCGTCGGACCTGAGGCTCCCCGTCCTGGTGCCAAACACCAAAGGGCTTCAGATCGCGCTGGATCACGGTGTCCGGGAAGTTGCCGTTTTCATTAGTGCAACTGAGGGATTCAGTCGCGCCAACATCAACTGTAGCGTTGATGAGGGAATTCAACGGGCACACCAGGTAGCAACAAAGGCGGTTTCGGCTGGTCTTGCTGTTAGAGGGCAAGTCAGAAGTTCTATACACATTTGTGGTTGTTTGTTCGCTGGCTAACCATTTTTCTGTGGCATCAGATACGTTTCATGCATATTTGCCGACCCGTTCGATGGTCCGACGCCGTTATCCGCCGTCCACCGCGCTGTCAAAGCCTTGTTCGATATGGGATGCTACGAAGTCAGTCTCGGGGATACTCTGGGGGTGGGAACAGCACCAGATGTACGGCGGCTGGTCGAATTCCTCAATCGCCAAGGGATTGACCCGTCAAGACTAGCTGGGCATTTTCACGATACATATGGGCAGGCTTTGGCAAACGTGTGGAAAGCCTACGAATGTGGCGTGCGCACGTTTGACAGCAGTATCGGCGGCTTAGGAGGCTGTCCCTTCGCGCCGGGAGCCAAGGGCAACGTGGCAACGGAAGACGTCGTATATCTGTTCGAAAATGCGGGTGTGAGCACTGGGATCAATCTGCAGAAGCTTGCGGAAACTGGTGTGTGGATTTCGAAGGTGCTCTCGAAGTCGAATGATAGCAGAGCCGGGGCGGCTTTGTCTGCAAAAAAGGCATCCAGAAACACCACATCCTCCAAGACATCCTCCAAGACATCCCCGGCGTCGACAGAAAAGGTGAATTGGTCACTTGTGCGAGAAACCAAGCGTATCCTCGTGTACCGATCCGGGGCAACAGGCAACATCGTCCTCAACACACCGCGTAACGGCAATACTCTCACGTCTCAAATGATCGAAGATTTCCAGGCAGCTTTCAGGACGTTCGAAAACGATTCATCCATATCACGAATTGTAATCAGCGCGAACGGCAAATTCTTCTGCACCGGCATGGACCTCAGCCAGGCCGCCCTTGTTGTTGGTAAAGGAGGCGATGCAAGCTTGGGCATTTTCAAGCCACTGAAGAGCTTGTTCGAGCTAATCGACAACTCGAGTAAGGTAACGATCGCGTGTATCAACGGCCCGGCCTTTGGCGGTGGAATCGGGCTAGCATTTTCGTGCGACATCAGGACATGCCTTTCTTCGGCAACGTTCACTCTCTCGGAAGTCAAGCTGGGTCTCTGCCCTGCAGTGATATCCAGATACGTGATCCGCGAATGGGGCTTGGCGCTTTCACGAGACGCAATGTTGACAGCAAGGGCGGTTTCGGCATCTGAGCTCAAAGTCCAGGGAGCCGTATCGTTGCTCGCCGACACACCAGCTGAGCTGCGCAAGACGGTTGAACAGCTGATTCGCAATCTCCGTCACTCGTCGCCTGGGGGCTCCAGGATGTCGAAGGATTTGGTAAGACTGGCATGGTCTCATGGTGGCACAACTGCCCAAGAAGAAGGAGTTGCAAAACTCTTTGAGTCAATGATGGCAACTGGTTGTGACGCTGTCCTTGGTATCGGGGAGTTCCAAAAACGTAACAAGGTGGACTGGGATGAATATGTGGCCAAGGCACCTCGCGCAAAGATTTGACACAAACATCCATAGAATACCTTCAAATTTGGTGGTCAAGATATTATTACCGTAGAAAATCTTCTGAACATACTTCATCATTTCAATCAACATGCCAATGAGACAGTGTGACCCGTTGATGTCATGGGATGGAGACCTTCGCGTTCTTCCGGCGGGGTTCCGAGCCAGCCGGGACGAGCCAGAAAAATCTCACCAAATCGCCAGCTTGCATGCGTCAACTTGGCCTCCCAGCCCCAGATTGCTATTTCCAGCTAAATTTCTGGGGAAACGGCAGCGACGACAAGGATGGGACTAGATGCCCCCACGTGATCATCCCGACCTACCCCGCATCGAGCTCAGGACGACCGGATATTGCTGAAGCGCCCTCTCATCGGAGTTTCAACGTCACCGATTTGATGCACGCAAGAAGGCTAGATTCATACTTCAGAACAGCATCACTGTTCATACACTTACAGCATGTCTGAAGACATGACAGAGACAGGATGGATGACATCCGGCTCCCCTGAGCCGAGATCACCACCGGCCAGCGGGGGCATCAAGCGCATCCGCCAGGCCTGCACGACTTGCAGGTGCGTTTGGGGAGTCACTGATTTGGAACTACAGTTGCTGATGATCATCTTTCACTTCACAGGCAGAAGAAGATCAAATGCTCTGGGGACAAGCCAAGGTGTGGTAATTGTCGACGCAGCATGCAACGGTGTTCTTATGAACCATTCTCGGCGACGTCGTCGGCTCTGTCTGGAAGCGCATCAGCAGCATTCTTGGAGATGATGAATAATGTTCGAATGAAACTTTCTTTATATCTCTGGATTACTTGGGCTAATCGCGTCACAGTCTGCGCTTTTCCAGCGGATTTCTGCGATCGAGAGCAAGTTGGCAGAACTCAGTGGTCAACCACCAAAGGAGTCATGGTAGGGCTTTATCTCCATTCAAGCTCGCCGTACGATGAGAGATCATGACACTCATATACTTCTTTTAGCACATTCGCCGGCACCGAAACAACTTTTGAAGCTGAGCCACAGTTTCCAAACGACGACGCGGCAGACATCTTCAACCTGGAAGACCAGGTGTCAATATCTCCAAGCGGAAGCTCTCGGGACGCCCCGACAAATGACGTGTAAGTATTCTCTGGCTTTTTGAAAGACAATTCTTTGAAACAGCTCTGTTAATCTGCATTACAGGGACTTGAGCAAGCTACCCCCAGATTCCGTGATGCAGTCCTTGATCGACACATATTTCACGCACTGCAATAACCAACCCTACGGCTATTTCCATGAAGAAACTTTTCGACAAAAACTGGCCGATAACTCCTTACCTAAATGCGTCGTGCTGGCTGTTCTGGCGTCATCCATGAGGTTTTCGGATCATGAGTATTACGCTGGAGTAAGGGCCAAGGCAACCGAAGCTTACGCGAGAGAAGCCTGGCTGTCGGTACTCGCGGATCATATGACAGCAGAGGATTCGCCCGATTTGCATGTTGCCCAGGCGACAAATATTCTGGCTATCATCGATTTTACATGTGAGTTGATCTCGTAGCCAATGATTTGCTTGTGGTGGACCGGCCAGCTGATACCAGCTTTAGCAGGACGAACCAGCTCTGGGTGGCTGAAGATTGGCCTAGCCATCCGAATAGCACAGGATCTTCAGTTGATGAGAGAACCCAGTGAAACGCTGTCTATCATTGAACAAGAAGAAAGACGGAGGTGTTTCTGGTCGATATACCTCCTCGACAAACTCGTTTCATGCGGAAAAGATCGCCATCTCGCTATTTCAGACGAAGATTGCAGTGTCCGGCTACCATGCGACGAGACCACGTTCCGCATTGGGGGTTTGGAAAGGAATGTGACTCTACACCAGCTTCATGACTGGAACACGGACCCCTCTTCAGCTCGCGGAAACTTTCCCATCGCGATTTTAGCCGGCTCTGCTCTGGGACGGTGTACACGAAACGTTCTCCACGACCGCGAAGTGGATGGTGTTCCTCCATGGGACTCGAGGTCGGAGTACGCCTCCATCAATTCCATTCTACTTCTAGTCGAGTCTCGTCTTCAGATGGACCAAACCTCTATCGACTCTATCGTTGAAACGAACAGGACAGAAGAAGGATCCATCGACCATCAAGTTGTGGGGCACGTCATATTTGCGCGTACGGTGTTCCACCTCTGCCACTGTCTCCTAAACCACCCATTCCTGTTACGCAGACGGCTACGTGGACGGAATGGCCAGGCTCCCTCGAGCTTTCTCTTACTTGCTTTCCAAAGAAGTTACGACCACGCACGGAGTCTAATCAACGTCCTTCATGATGCAGCAGCAGCCGGGTGCCATCTTGGTGCCTCATTCTATGCCTACTCCGCGTGCTTAGCTGGCAGCACTTTGTCACTCAACATGCACGCCGAGAAACATCATGGAGGCCAGCGATCGGCGGAAATGCTACGCGCCACCCAGGAAAGCTTAAGCATCCTCGAGAAGATGGGCCAATTCTGGGACCATGCTTCCAAGATGGTAAGTCGACCTGATGCCCAAATAGCTTTATCTTGGAGTCTGACTGATATGATTCGGCAGCATCGTCGACTTTTAGCTTTCAACAGTCACGCTCATCTCTTCACGTCACTATTCAATGCCCACAAATCTCCTGATCTGGGCCCAGAACTGGAGGCGGCGCTGTGGTCTATGATCGACTATGGTTCCATGTGCCGCGATTCGAATCTCTCTGTGCCGAGTCCGACACTTGTCCTTCCGTCAGAGACACCCTTTTCAGTTCAGCTCGAACTTAGTGAGGATCAAGGCCTAGGCCTAGCAGATAGCCCCAGCATGGTGTTGTCGAATATTGACTCTACGGCGATGAGCTTTGATACTCCTAGCATTTCGTATCTTTTCGAGTTGGCATCTAGCGGCGGTTAAATAGCGGTCTTGTCCGTGGAGAATCCGTAGAATATTCGCGAACAACTGTGTGGTTTATATGAACTCATGTTTGTACATCGATTACCGTTATCATAGGTTGGCGGTTGGTTTGAGATGTACGTTTCAAGCGGGTTGAAGGGGCGATGGTGCCTATGCGAGAACAATCTTACAAACCAAAGAAATGGCAAAAGGGAAAGCAATTTATTCGCATCTGTTCATGATTACTGAACTCGCTCGCAACTGTGCGAATGAACTTCCGCTTGGGATTGATGAGAATGGGGTCAACATCTCGCGTAATCCCTTAATCTCGAGTCGCGACTCAGCGTCCAAATTCCTAATGGTGTGCATCGAGGACAGGAAGCAATGATTTGATTGCAAAACTTGGTGAGATGCTCGCGCTGGTCCGATTAGAATCACTGCACCGCTTACCAAAGGGGCAGCAACTCTAGCATCGCGTCCGGAGCAATCCGGTGCTCACATCGTAAAGGGGGCGGGTCCGCTGTCGCACAGCCGGAGTGGTCCGTCTGATGGATATGGCATCTCCAGGCAGCGACCGTAGGGCGCATCCGATGTACAGAGAGTCATCCAGCCAGTCAAGTAATCTCGTAAAGCAATACGCGCCCTGTAGACGAATCTGTGCCGGCGGGAGTTGCCATTTTATGATGCGCAAAGAAGGTTACTGTACGTAAACGAATGAGACTCTGCGCCGCATAAAAAGTGGATAGGCCCCCAGATCTTCGCACATTATCCCCTGAGCCCCGCCCTTGCAGGAGATTCCTCCAATCGCATCGAGTCAGCGATTCATCCGAACGGTTGTGGTCCGACGGGATAATTACCATGCAACTGGAACGATCATGAAAGCAGTATATTGCGGAGTCAAAAGTTCCTCAGACACGATAGCGCACGTTCCAATGACCACAATCGAAGTTTCGAATAGAGACCAACATGCCTCCCACACGGATAAGTTCCAGACGCAATGTCCCCTCGATTGTGTATTTGCGCGGGATCAAGAGATTAGCCACGATCATATAAGGTTATGCTTATCCTCTTTGTGTTTGTTTAGCGTCGCTCAATAGACTCTTCGATACCAACCCCCAAACAGTCTTTTCCGAATCGCATCAAGTCTATTTCCGGCACCATGAAGGGAATCCAAGCAACCGTCGGCGGCATGATTGCTGCACTCGCCAGCCTTGCCCAGGCAAACTCCGACATCGTCACCCTGTTCACCAACGGCAACGCTTACATCCAAGAGGCGAGCGCAACTCTTGTCCTTCCCGAGCTGCCCAGCGCCATCTCCGGAGATGTCGCCATCTGGAGCGCCATCATGATGCAGAACGAGGCTTCCTTCCTCCAGGGCGTTACCTCAAACTCTCCGAGCGGGTATGGCGCAATCAACGTTAACGATTTTTTGGCGCATCGCTGACGATCCATGTTAGATCTTACTGCGAAGATGGAGGAAAGAATTGGTGCAACTTCGCGTACACCCTGGTCGGTGCGTATCACTATCTGAAGCCGCTCTCGAATGCGGCACTTGATCGACCGGCGCTGATCCGTGACTAGGCTCAAACCCCACCGTTGGCACCCCCGTGAAGGCTTCCGCAGGGTCGACTGTAAGAACTCACTGTAAGCGAGGCCCCTCTTCGTTGTCGGCATATCAAGACTGACCACGGTTATAGACAAGCTGAACTCGTCGACCCAGCTCTGGGACCAGAACGTCTATGTCGACGGCAAGCTTGTTTCCACCGTCAACACCAGTACGTCCTTCCGATACAAGACTAACATTTGGCTCCGCCCAATGCTAATTGCATCTGCACAGGCAAGGGACAGCACGGAAACATCTTCTACATCTCAATCGAGTGCGCCAGCGGCGGCTGCGCGAATCACCCTGCCCACAGTTTGTCTCACTCATCACGTCAACCAAAGCCCGAAGCTAACTCATTCATAGCCTGGAAGGATGTTTCTATTGTGCTTAGCGAAGCTGACAAGAGCTTTGGACACAGTGGAAGCTGGGAGCATGGTGCCACCGGTGGTGCCATGACCACTTCTGACGGCGGCAAGACGTGGAACATTGCTACCCTCAACATCCCGGCCCAGAAGGCCGAGTAAAGGGACGGTCACTGGCATGATCATCATATTTCTTGAAGTAAATATTCTCAATCCAATAGTACATACTAGGCATCTGGCTCGGCATCGTGATTCCCCAGTAATTTCGTGTCCATATTGAGGAGATTCACAACGTGCCTTGGCCGTTTCTTGAGGAACAAGCTACCATCCATGGATGATCAAACAGGAAGAGCTTTGTATGTTATGCCAAGTCTGCAAGTGAAAATGATTGCTTGCGACTCGGTGACGGATAGAGGATTCCCGCTTGTTCGATGTCATTGACGGTTTCCATCATTTTCACGAGGTATCTCACTTGGATAGAGGGTGCAGTACGACCCCTCAATGTTCGTAACTCCCTCTGACTCGTAGTTCCGTTTCTGAGACGGTGACTAAGTCAACAACGGTACGAGACTTCCCATCTTACAGACATTCAGGGTTTTTATTGTGTTGGACAATCCTCTAGAGCATACAATGCTCATGGAACGCCCGAAGGCATGCTGATGAATGGCCAGGACAAAATCCATCGCGGCTAGGGTCTTTGGTCATGACTTTCGACCATCAGACGTGACCGAAGTCTAGCACCTTGCACGACATCCCCTCATCCATAACTTCAACAGTCACGGTCAGTCTACTGAGAGTCACTTGGGAGAGATCAAGCTAATTGTGGCAGACCAACTAGGGTTCTGGTATTGTATTATGTACGGAAAGCAACAATATGTACGTGTCGAAAAGGCTTTTACGCTAAATACTCGCCATGATCAAACCCCTGAATCAAGATCGAACTCAGTTGGATCGACTCAACGGTCACACTGAGACCATTTAGGAGACAGAGATGGAGATGGCGGAGGTCTTGAAGACGGCGTTGGTGCCGGAGAAGGGCTCGGTACCGGCCTGGAGGGAGGTGACGACGTTGGTGTTGGCGACACCCTGGCTGGAGACGAGGTAGTCGAAGAAGCCCTTCAGGTCACCGTTGAAGCTGGCGATGTTGCTGGGGGCAACGAAGGAGAAGACGGTGGTGTCGCCGTTGGGGCCGGAGAAGAGGCTCCAGGTGGTGCCGGCGATCTTGGGGGAGGCGATCTTGGATCCCGTGCTGGAGATGGGGCCGGCACCGCCGTAGGAGCCGAGCCAGATCATGATCTCGTACTTGTTGTTGGCGCCGACGGAGGGGGCGAGCCACAGGTCGTAGGCGACATCAGCGACGATGTTGGAGCCAGTGTAGCTGGAGTTTTCAGGTCAGTAAGGCGACAGTAGTAAATGCTTCGAAGAGAACACTAACCTCCAGGTCCACTTGGAGGGGATGGACTTGATGGCAGAGAGCTGCTTGTTGACCTTCTCCAGAGCAACGTTGGAGTAGGACTTGACCTGGCCCTGACCGCCAGCCCAGGTCCAAGAGGTAGACCAAGAGACGGAGCCGGAGCTCAGGGAGTTGAAGGTGGTGCACTGAGAGCCGGAGGTGGCCTGGGCAGCACCCCAGTTGTTGTGGTAGACGGTGTAGGCGCCGGTGGCGAGGGAGCCGAAGGAGTCGCACCAGGTGGTGGCGCGCTTCTCGATGGTGGGCGTGGGGCTGGCCATGGCGGTGGCGGCCATGATGGCCGAGACGAGGTAAGAAGACAGCTGCATCGTGAATGGAAGTCTGCAAAGAATGACTGGTTGAACTGAAGCGAATGTGTGTGCAAGAAGAGAACGTCTGGTTTGTAAGGAGGATGGACCAACAATCGGATGCCAAGATCAGCTCCAACGGCGGGAGGGCGGCAGTTGATATACTCACAACATGCTAACGAACGTCAGGGTTTGGCAAACATTTTCCTTCCAGAACGAAGACTGGTCCCTCCAATTACGGTGACGAATGCCAGATGTGACGTTAGTGTCCGGCCACAAGGTGAGTGTCTGTCGACGCTGGGCCCCGTGTCAACCGGGATGCCGGAGCTAAGCATCGGACGGAAAGCTTGTTGCGGGCTTAGCGGGTGCGCCGCTGGGTGCGAAAAGAATCAGGGGCAGTTTCACCTTAACAAGACCTCGGGTTACCGACGTCCAACGCTGCCCACCACGCGGCGCTCTACATGACTCCACCAATGGGGTAAGTGGGCTGGTTAATCTGCCCGTTACGTTCTTGTCAAGTAAATGTGGTGTTGCGCCAGCCAAAAGGGCTCTAGGGGAGAACTGAAAGCCGTGTCATCCCGGCCACAACACACCCAAAAGCAGAAGGTTTGCGACCGTCGAAATTGAGCTTTGACTCGTGTTCACCCGATTTTGGACGGCATTAATAACCCCCCAATCAATACATTGGAAAGCCGATATCGAATGTCGGTTGCGGAATCCCGTGCTCGGGAAGGGGGGAAATCGTTTGTTCCCGGGGCGTTCCATGGTTCGGCCTCGAAAAACATTTCGTCGTCTCTCAAGATCAGAAGAGCCTGAAAAGGAGGCTAGGGAGTTCCCATGGTTAGCCGATGTTGCCGTGTTGTTCCCTGCGGCTTCACCAATATTTCCCCACAGAATATATATGAAGCTAACTCCGTGTGCTGGATAGACCATTGCCACATGCACTGCTACTTTATGTCAATCCGCCCCCCCCCCGATTATCTTTGCTTTTGCTCAATGGCACTTAATATCGTCCTGCAAAATTCAGTAAGACAACGTCATTGCTAGGGGACGCCATCAAAGGTGTCTTCGCAGTCGATGACTGAACACTCCGACGGACACTTTTCTCGCCAAGCAACTCGATCGCTCTCGAGACGCCGTATTCAGTAAAAACCAATTTGGCGCTAGACTCAAGAATCGAAGTCATCTCCGTCGGCCAGCCCCGTGATGCTCACCGTTCACAAAGAGCCTCTGCTTCCCCACCGGATCGTTTGCCCCTGATGTATCCCTTGCAGCAAGGCGCAGACACCTATGCCGGCAATCGCTCACAATGCCGCGCCAAGATAGGTCTGGCCAGCCCGTCGGCGAACCTCCCCCAGATTACCAGGATGCGGTCCACGCGCCAAGCACGCCTTACGGCTTGTTTTGCTCCGCGCGCCGGGAAACAGCTGCAATGATGGCTGCAGAGCCCATCGATACGGCCGCGACAGCCGTCTAGCCAAATCGCATTCTCGAATGCGTTGCGCTGTGTTTGAAACGCGATGATCGGTTTTCCTGCGAGATCAACTGCCGCGTCAACCGGTCTGCATTCCAGATGCACCTCGCCGCTTCAATGACGACTACTGGTGGACAATCCCCCGATCCAAAGCTTAGCCCGGCGGGTAGCCGTCACACTGAAATAAAGGGGGCTTAGCGAAGGGGCACCGAGTGGGCGGCGCTAAAGTGCCGAACCGGCCGGTCGCCGGCGACCGAGATTGCCGCTCCGGAGCGAGCCTGCAAAACACCCCAAGAACTTGCTCAAAAGGCCTGTCATAGGCCTGGCACACGAAAGAAGCCATAGCAATCCGTTTGTCATCCAATTGCTCTCGGCCTGTCAACCCAGGTTCAAAAGGAAGACACCGCCAATTGCCTCTAGAACACGACTCTCGAGATGAATGCCGGTCGACCAAAACATCAAAAAGTAATCTGACCGTGCCAGGGCTCGAACCTGGGACCTTCTCGGATCAGGTACACATGATGTGAACGAGAAATCTTAACCAACTAGAACACACAGCCGGATCTTGAAGCTATTCCGTTCATAGCCAGCTCAAGTGGATGTCGATGCTGCGCTGCATCGTAAGCGAGATCAGCGCTGATTGGGTACGATGAGGGACTTTCCGCGCCCCGTTGCGGCTTCGGACAAATCGGGCAACTCTTGTTTGACCGAAAGCTAAGTTGATGAAAAGATGCGGCACATACGATGCGTAGTTGACAGTCACATTAAGCTTAATCAGGTGACTGAATAAACATGCTGCCCAGTTGTCCCAATTCGTGTTGAGAGGCCAGTTCTGGCTAGTTGCCGAAAGCAAAGATCACATTTCTCATTTCGCATATTGACACGCGCTCCACTAAATCACTGCTTTCAGCACTGTTTGACTCGTAACAACATCAAAACTTTTGTTTTCCACGTGGTCCATGCATGCCATGACTTGACGATAACTCATCCCTTGTCTTCCTCAGAAGTCTGTGCTTCTAGACCTGCTTTTTGTCGCTGTTCCCGCATTCGCTCGAGTATGCCCACGCTCAATGATGTGTCTAAGTCTTCAACTGTTTCCTTCATGGCGTCGGCGATCTTCTCCGCCGGATTGCATTCTGTATGCTTTTCGTAGCAAGACACGTAAGACAACACCCGCTTCACTGACTTGAGCAGGTCTGCAATACTTTCATCCTGCCTCATTTGCAGCTCTGTTGCCTTGGAGCCTCGAACGTAAATCAGTCCCGCGAACAAGCTTCCCAGCACGACATAGTCGCACTTCTTGTTTTTGGTTATCGGTATGTCAGAGATCCCTGCGCACATCCATTTACCCTCGATCAAGCGCTTGATGAGCTGGTTGATGTGTGCTGGTAACTCTGATGCTAATTGGTTGCGCATTAAGCGGATGTTTTCTTGCCGAAGGTCAGTATGACAGGAATCTAATCTGAGATAGCAGTTTCGCTCTTACCTGAAATCACTGGAGAGCCTAACGCATCATGAAGATAATCGTCCAGGCAAACTCCATCGGCAGTCATAATGTGCCCGCCTTCGTGCACCACACATGTGAGGGTGATATCGGTGAGCGTCCTGACGTATAGTCTCTCATCACCCAGCCCCCACGCAATGCATGCTAGCATTGCGAGACTGTGCCCATCTCTCGCGGATTCCAAGCTGTCGATAACGTCATACCAGTGCCCGATCCATGGCTGCAGAACTTGTTCCATTTCATACATGCTGGCGAGGCAAAGGGAGTTGTACATCTCCGAGAGGGATGGTCTCTTGGGTACCAAGTGGAATTTCGAGTGGATGATATTGAGCAAAATGACCAGCCCATCAGATTTCTCGTATGGGCATGCGAATAGTGATGGCGTCCAATACCAATCTTCCTCTGCCGTTCCGGTCTCCTCGGCGGTTTCAGCCAAAGTCCGTCTCCAGAATGGCGATGCTCTTTTCAGGGCATTTGAGCAGACCCGAAATGCTGGGCTTTCACCAGAATTTGGGCTGCATCCAATTCGAAGAATGAGATCACCGTAGGGATCGACCTGAACCTCGTCTTCATCGGCAAAAGTGTCTTCGGACGGTGTTCCCATCCACTCGCTCTCCATGTCGGCCTCGAAATCCTCTCTGACCACAGCCGGGCGCAGAGCCAGTCGTGTGACGCCCGTCATGATGTCGTTAGCGTCGTCGTGATGTATAGAACATGAGCTTCGGAGGTTCTGGTGAGGGCAGCATTGGGGGAAGCTGCAGCTGATGTAGGAAACGTCGTCGCGTACGAGCGCCGCTTAAGCGCCCCCAACCAGGATCCCAGCTCGGGCGCGGGTCACGGGGTTTCGAGCACGACACACCTAGAGTTCTGTGTTGCGAACCTTACGTCGACGCAACTCTGCCCACGGCAGTGCACCTGATGTGAGGAGAAACGCACGGAGGTGCCAGTTTTACGTAATGATACACGCTCAGCTACAAACAGACGGCGCTGGTTGGGTAGCGAGACTTGGCATCTCGTACGAAGAAACACCCAAAACCAAGGTTGTCAGTGACACGTTCAGCGATGGACCTCGCTTGGCGACGCAGAATAGCAGCATTTCGCGGGGGACGACCCGGACTCCGTTGGTCAGACGGGACGGTCCCGAAGGCTTGGCACTGCAGTGCGGAGGGCCTGGGCTTCTGCACTCCTACGTGCGAGTCAAGTGGAGTTTGCGTCCGAGCTACTGCGTAGCAATACGTCATGGCACCCGACGGGATTTGAATGTTTGAAGGTTTTGTTTCGGAAAAGCTGTTGGGGTTCCTTATGTCCTGCATTACGAGTCCGCTTAGTAGTGGTGGGTAATGGTGGCCCGTTGCATCTAGTTCCGTGAAACGCGGAATGGACTAGACGAATCATTGTCTATACAGTGAACAGTTTAATCATGTCGGAACCCGGCTGTGAGGAGAATTTCAGCTAAAACAAGCCACAAGTTGACTATTCTTTATTTGGGTCTCTAAGTCTTTCAAGTCTGCCGCGGTCCATTAGCCGTGAGAAGGATGCATCTACGTCTGTAATCTCTTGGATAGTATAGGCTTCAAGTTGACAGCTGATAGGTATTGTCCGACGTGATATAGTCAGATAATATTCAGACAGGTCCTGCCTTCTTCTGTCAAAATTCAGTGATAGATGGGGTTGCTGCCCAGGCGGACTGCTATTTAGGTATCAGCTATCAGAGTTTCTATTTCTCCTTCATTGTTACCATCACTCTTACATCGATACCGTCTCTGTCAAAATTAATAATCACGAGTCTTCACCCCTTCAACACTAACACGTTGGAATTGTTGTTCATATGGTCAGGATGAAGACACGCCGGTCGCGCAAAAATGCTACCACGTTTGATTAAAAGCTCTCTTACCTGTAATCATCTTCTTCTTTTCCACAAACCAAACGCCCCAACGGTCGCTGCCGTCATCGTAGTTCCCACAAGAATGATAAAATCACGCCATTTCCCAGCACCGTATCCGGGCTGAACCCCAATATGGTCATTGTTCTGCAGGACAGCTGCAGCGATATATCCCGAAGCAACTCCAATGACACCACGGGTGAAGAGAAGAATTCCAGACACGAACAACTCCTCGCTTGGGCGATTGGGGTCGTCAACAACTACTGCAGCCATATGACTGCGCAAGACCATAAAGCTGAAAGCAAATGCACCAAACAGTATAGATGTGACTACCATGTTCCAGTAATATTTGCCGAGACCCCAAACCACGAACACGGCGAAACTGCTGACGAGGGTACTCATCAGCATGGGCACCAAAGGCCCGATCGCGTCCCTGTTGTCGGTATAATTAGGTTAGCCGGTAGCTCATGCGCAAATGCGTTTGATCATAATAACTGACGTTAGGGCACCGATTGATATCTGACCGATGATACCAAACAGCGATAAGAAAGTGACCAATAGAGCGCCCTTTTCAGGCGAAACACCAAGGTCGGTCGCAAAGCTGGGAAGGTAGTTGGCAGGTAAGTTATTCGCCAGGCTTTGAAGTGTCATAGAAAGGACAAACAACCAGAATGTTGACTTCTTGAATATTCTCTTCATTGAGTACGGCTGTTGAGACGCTGCCGCTACCTCCGCCTTGCTGTCACATCGGGAGCGAACGCAGATGATGCCAAGGGAAATAATGACAGCTGCGAATGAAGTCCATCCTATGAGGGTGGTTCGACGACCAAAGCGCTTGAGAAGAACGGAGAATATGGGCGAAAGACCTGCGGCAGCAATGTTGGGTGCGCCAAAGCTGTTCTAGTCAGCCATTCGTCATTTTCTACCCAATATTTTGCAGCTCACAAGATGCCATTGGCAAGACCACGTCGTTTTAGAAACCATTCGTCCACGAATGTGAGACACGGCGCAAATAGCAGGCCGCTCGATAAACCATACATGAGTCCCTGTGTCATAATAACCTGGACCGCCTTCGTAAAGATTAGTATTGAACTACATCGTAGCATCACTAGACGAAGGACTTACAGATGTCGAGAAAGCAGCACCGATAGAAGATGCTACGACTAGAACCATCCCGCTCCACATCATGTGAAACTTGTATTGAGGGTTCGATGAAATGATTTTGAGAATCAATGGCGGAAGCGTTTGAAGAAGGCCCTGTATCTGCTGAGTCCTTGAGAAGGAATCCATGAATGTTGCTTGACTCACGACTACTAGTAGGCCTGTGGAAGCTACTAACTGATTTCCTTCGAAAGGAGGCGTCTTGAAGTAGTATTCTCGGAAAACACCTTGAGTAGCTCCAAAGCCTGTGACAGAAGGACGTCGTCAATAGCCTCAAAATGCCGGAGGTTTGTGGGGAAAAGCACCGCTTACCCCAAGTAGCCATAGCGATGGCTGACACAGCGACGAGGCTCGTCCATGCCGCCCTCCCACGATCGCGGGGTGGGAGATCATCGTCGGAAAATAATGCCTCATTTTCTAGTGCAGCATTTTCAGGCGATACAGGTGGAATATTCACCGCTTTGTCAGCTGGTGCCAGATCGGACCGGCCGTCTCTGGTGGATAGCATTGTAGTTGTCGATACGAGATTTTGATTCCGGCCCGATCGTTGGGCAACTCGGTAGAAGTATATTGTAACGAAGCTGAATGGATTTGAAAGACAGAGCATGAACGAACGAAGCAAATTTGGGCAGTCAAAAAACCAGACGTTGAACATCCTTCCTCAACCAACACGAAGGATGCGCCCTGCATGACCCCCATGCTTAGACGAACGCCCGACGGGGTTGCTAAGACCGGCGCATTCCGAGACGACCAGCTTCCGTTGGTTATCCCGCACCCTATGTGAACCGGGGATGAAGCGCCGGTCAGAATCTCCAGCGGAAGTCGGTAAATTGCTGGCTGATCGGCTATCGGCGCATGGCAAATGACGCTGAGTCTGCATGCTGGCGTTGTTTTTGGCGGAAAACGGCTCCAAGCGATTGGTTGGGTCGCCTATTTGACTTCTCAAATAGTATCAATATCCTCACTTCTAGGTTCTCGTCTCTTGACAGCATACTGTCTTAGCAGAATCAAGCTAGGCCTGCCGCCGCATGGCGCAGTTGGTTTCGCTAATTGATACAATCAGGGGGGCGAAGTTCCAACGATTCATATCGACTTACTACATCCTGATGGTATAAAAACTCTCCAAAACCTTTCACGTTCACGGCGACAACTCTATTGCACGAATTTCGATCTCCTACAACGTCTAAATTGGCCACACGGCCATCCAACATGGGTAATCAGCATGGAGGCTTATCGACGTGCCCTCTTGGAGCGGAGGCCCCGCCGGTTTTGGGTCGCCTGCGGACCCTACTGTTTTCCACATTTTATATACCGCAAGATGAATCATATCTCTCTCTCATTTTCGCCTGTAAAAAGCTGCACTGCCCTGAAATTGGGTAGCAATCACAGTTGACATTGACGACCGTATCAAGCAGCACAACTGATCCTGACATTATCAAGAAAATATCCACCCATGAGATACCCCCAGCTTTAAATATGTAAGACATAGGCTCGGCCACCAATGACGACATGGTTCGGCCCGTTACCGTGAGCTACCTTAGGTAGGTTAGTTGTGCATCATCACAGCCGGTTCTGCGGAAGTCTGTGGAGTCTGACAACCTGACTAGCATCAGAGACGCCTTTCCTTCCAGAACGAAGTTTGTACCCGAATTCAATTGCAGTGTCTGAATTGAAAATCTTTCAAAATGTTCTCGGATTGGTGTCACAAAGACTCAGACCAAGACGGTAAATGCCGGCCAGAGCTGAGTGAAGCTAGCCTACATAAGGTTAATCATGCCGCGCGGGTGGCATGATTTCTCTCGCCGTTGGACCGTTCCGGACGACGAACCGGGAAGGTTGCTGCGTTGCACTTGACATAGCCACATGGAGATAGCCTTGTAGATGGAATTTAGGCAGCGTCGGAGCGCCAAATTCGGTAATGCCGCCGTGGTTATGCCTGGCAAGGCAGAGCTAATCCCAATCAAGGCCAGTTTATGACTTATAGTGCTTGATGAAGGCTTGCTGAGACTGTGGCGCCAATCTGGCGCTAGAACGAGAGCGGTCTTGGGCGAAAGACAGGAAGCTGGAAACGAGACCTCTCATCAGAAGTTCCTCGAAAGGCAGAAGCGTCTATGCGACGATCGAAGCCATTAAATCTCCATAGAAGCAAAGAACAATGGAAACATGGTGGGAAACGACGTGCGATAGATGAGTTATTCGGTTCTGGGATTCGGGCGAATGGAATGCTAAGAGTGTTTCGTCGGACGCTTGATCGGTTGAGGCTAATGGTGTCTTTTCTCATAACCATTGACATTTGTTCGGCGACTTTACCATGGGCGTCCCCTAACCGTCTGAACTGTCCCCGGATTTGACACATGATTTCTCTTCATAGCGGGTTCGCTGACAGAAAAGACGAGATCAGATCTCAGCGACATTCTAGTGTACCTACCTTAATTAAATACTGAACCCACCGGCTTCCCAAGAAACGACCAGGACAACGACAAAAAGGCCCTCTCCAGTCAAATATATCAACGCTTCGAAAATGAATCTTTCAATCGGAGCCCTCTTCGCTTTCATCGCTGCTATGCTTGTTGCTCTTACCGGTATCGGGAAGTTGATTCTCGATGTTGTCCAGTGGAGACGTAATTTCAAGAAGAAAGAAGCCGTCAGCGTACTTCCGTGTAAGTATGACTCCTTGATACCACAAAGAAGACCAAGGCCATGATCAACTGGATGCTTTTCTAATTGAGTCTGCATGCAGCGTTCAATCAACCACGCGGGACCGCTAGTAAGCCAGGCATGATGCCATTCCCGACAATATCGACTACGCAACCCATAATGGAGTCCTTGCTTTCGGAAACAGTCGGAATTAATATGGCAATCTGTCAAACGTCAGTATTACTACTGCAAGTGGAGTGCTTCGGGAACTATGTCCAGCCACCCAAGCCGTCTGTCAATTGGTGTCCCCGCCCGATGTAATCGGCCATGTATCTGACTATCTGTACACACCAGACGTTAGCCAAACAAGACATTCGACCACTAGGCATTCTCTACTCCCATATCGTGAAATTCTGTCACTATTCTCAGAATTAAATGAGCCCTGTTTATATTCCATTGTTGAAGAGTCCCGAAGGAGTTGCTCTCAACTTCTTTGCATGCCCCGTGCAACAATTTGCGCGGATTGTTAGGCTTCAGTTTCCATCCGTAGTCATTGGCTGGAAGTCAACGTTGGATGATTCTTTCAGCGTATGATTACATAGAACGTTGTGTCGGGTATCATTAAAATTTACATATGACATCTTGTCTTCGAGTTACAAGACGACCTCTGCCCTGGGCGATGAGCAGTCTAGTTTCGCGGCCCAAAGTAAACCTATTTACTGAAACCCTTCCTCCTCTTGAATTTAAGTAATAACACAACTATTGAGAAACGTCTCGATGTTGTCGGCGAAACCTGAACTGCACAGCCAGAGGGCAATCAGTCACATCGAGGCAGTCAATTCTACCGACCCCTGCTTTCACGACGCCTGGTTCTTTAGGTCCCCACAAAAGAGAAGCGCGCCGCCAGTCATTGTCTTCAACAGAGAGATGCTGGTTCTCAGGCGCCATTTTGCAGAGGACACCACCTGAATTTGCCACGGACTAGTGGTGACTTCTCAAGTCAGAACATACACCAAATAGCAAGGACTGATGAATGAGGGCAACCTTACTGGCATGTGGATAGGTCCGTGGAGGGGACCCCCTTGTATGATGACGCTGTAGTGCTCCTCTCGAACATAGTGATGCATGTGAATGCTGATGGCAGTGAGGCCCGTTGATTCATTACAAGGAACTTTGGTGGTGTTGATCGGCGGTTGTGGTGATGAACTAGTGGCTGGAGGGTGTCAATATGGATGAATATGGTCTATGTTGGGTGCAGCATATGGTGGACCCGTACTTGGTAACGTATTGGCGGATGCCTTGATTCTTTTTTCGCGGAGGAAGTCCACTACCCATTGCCCGACCGAAAGAAGGAATTTGAAAATGACCTCAATGAGGCTGATAATGAGCGCGAAGGTTACGAGGACCATATCGCTGAATTGGGCGCACAGGTGGTTCAAGCTGGCGATCAGGCTTGCTGAGGAGTGGCGCGAACGTTGTCTGCTATTGTAGTCGATACTCAAGAGTAGCAAAAGTTGTTTTCTTGAGATAGCGGGGGCAAGTGGTATAGAGTATGGTGGAGAATATTGGGGAGATTGCCTGAGATAGTGGATAGAGAGTACGACGGAGAGTGTGAAAAAGGTACGATAGACAGCTTGCTGCGTTCGTTTGATGGCAACTAGAAATTGACCTGATGAGTGGCCGGGGATGGATGCGCTTTATTCACGCGATCCTAGTACATCTTTGTTCTCACTGGAACTGGTGGTGTGAAGCATCACGAAAACCGAACTTCAGCTCTGCCTCCTCAATTATTGGAATGACATCGACGTGACGGGTAAATCAGGAACAGCATTGCCTAGAAACAATGAACAGTGGCAGAATTGAGCTTACCAGTAATTAATTAGATGGCATATGGATCAGATTGCCATACTGTTGTCTTTGAGCGCCAACTCCGGCTTGCCTAGCGCAATCTTCCTGCTTTGTTGCTAACTACTGGTGGAGGTTGAGGCTTGAGGCCCCGGACGTAAACGACGATAAGTGCCGCCTAGGGCCTCGTTAACAGCAGTATTATTCCAAGTCAATTACTCGTTATATGAAAAGCTTGCAATATTGGGTGGTTCGCCGTTGAGTTTCTCTTCAATCTTGCAATAAAGAGTACGGATCAACCCGAATGAGGGCATGTGAAAGACACTCAGACATAAAACAATGCAATGGGGCTTGTGATCGACTTTGGTGGCTGTGGGCTCAAGGCACGTTCTTCCAGCGGGCCGCTATTTGCTCGTTACAACGTGTCTATACGCCTCGTGCAACCATACTTCATGACTTGCCTGGTCTGCTTGGGTAGCGGAGGCTGAAGTCATCAGCGCCTTACATGCGTTTCACGCGAGATTAACCGGGTGAGTGTCAACTGACTGCCTCGATCCAATATGAAATCTCAAGCTGTCTCAGCACACTTTAAAGATTCGATCATAACTGCTTTGGAACGAGCGAAGGTGCTGGATAAGGGTCGTTTTGCAGGTTAATTTTGAGGAAAAGATACTGTGAATCAGAGAGATCCGACATGCAGCGCCAATGCAACGTTTGCGATAATGTGACTTCAAGCGTCAGCCTGCTAGGGCCAAGAAAACGGCGCATCCGGCGGTCATGCCATGCGTTGTGACATGAGGTGTGGCACAGCGTCTTGAAAGTTGCATCTGGTCGTTTCGTTGA